TTGTTAAATACTAGGATTCTTTTCTTTTTATTACTTAGAACAATGAAGGCTTTTAAAATTTTATTTATACTTTGTATTTTATTTTGATTGTAATTGAGTAACTTTTATAAAATTCAATACTTTGCATAATGACTCCAAAAACTTTGTGATTACTCTGATTATGTTGCTACTTTAATATTAGCATGATGCTGCTAATTAATACCAATAGAATACATATTTAGCTTGGAGTGAATTGAACCTTGGTCTTTGCATACAGGCTGTTGCACCTCTTGTGTATCATATTTATACAGTTATATTTTTTTCATTAAATATAGGAGCCATACTTTTGTTCCAATTACATTTAGCCTCACTTCCATCTGTCTATCTTATCCTGTCATCTAACATATTTGCTGATTTATCCAGCTTTGAGTCATTTATAGATTGGATAAATACAATTTCTATGTCTCCAGGTCACTAATAAATGTTTAGAATCAATCAGGAATTGAGTGCTAAACAATGCATTTAAAAACAAAAACATTTCCTTCCAGGTTTTTCCTCGTTACTAATGTTTTCAGTTGTGTTAGCATATATTTTCTCGATTTCCTGCCAGAATCTTGTTTATCATTTCATATTTCACCCAGCTCCATATTTTACCCCATAATTAATTAATTACCCTATACTTCTTTTAGGTTTTTTTATTTTGATTATCATGTTGAGTCTAGATAACATTCATGCAACTTTTCCATGATAAATCAAGTGGTTTTGTGAAAGAAGAAATTGAAATTGTATTATTAACACAGCTCTTATGAGTGCCAGTCATTACTAGGCTCTCACAATCATCCTTTTATCTTCTTTTAAGACCCTGCCCATTCTTAAGAAAGCTTATGTATCAATAGGGATTTACCTTATTCCCTGTCTTAAAGATCATAGCCATTTTTGCCCAACTCTGGTTTTCAACTTCCTCTTTTCTTTGCATATGTTCTCAAAGACTAACAATTAATTTGATCAGTGATGTTATTTATCCTGGGATATATTTTGTAGACTAAGAGTACATAGAGTAGCTGTGTGCTTTCTTTAAATTCCCCCTCTTCTGTGCTTCCACTTAATGTGTTTGTTCCCCCCTTAAGATTTTCAAATGGAAGAGTTAAAAGAAAATTAAATAACAAAGACAATTAAAATAGTTACTCTACTTATTATTTTATCTCATTCCAAATAGTGGAATTGCTTTTGCTTGTCATTTTGTAGCAAACAAGTAAAAAGCACAACTTTTTTCTTGTCATCCACATGTTTGTCAGTGGGGCATATGAATGAAATAGTAGTTAAAGAAGCAAACGGTAGAAGAGAGATGTGATAGACAATGAAGAAACTGATACAACCTGATATATAATTTGTTGGTAATTGGTAATTCAAATAGTATACTTTTTGAAAAGTGGCTTATTCTCAAATTGGTTGCTTTTCCCTGGACATCGTTTTCTTACACTGGGGAAATTGAACATGATTGGTAATCATGTGCTTATCAAAGTTGCGGGTTGCGGAGTGTTGGAAAACTAAATCTTTAGAAGGAATTAATTGATAAATTACTAAAAAGATCAAGGATAGGACAAAAGATCAAGGATAGGACCAATGAATGACCCAGAGACTCAAATGATATCACAGGTACATGCCTTGCTCGTTTGGTGTGTGTGTGTGTGTGTGTGTGTGTGTGTGTCCGTCCGTCCGTTCGTCCATCCGTTCCTTTCCTACATGCTCTGTTCTCTACTGGATCCATTTCCAGAGACTTTCCCCTGTGGAACAAAATGGCTACAATTATACCTCATGTTTTTCTCAGATTTACCTTCAGTAAGAAGAAATGTGTCTCTGCCTTGAAGTCACAGTGAAAGAAAGTCGAGCTGCTACTCATTGACCCTTTTCAGGTCACATTCAAATTTCTGAACCAGTGAAATATGGCTGGGGGCAGTATCTAATATGGATTCCCACTCAGATTTACTGAACATTGGGCAAGGGCAAATCTCTAAATATGAAGTGAGGCTGTTACTGAAAAATGGGGAAAAGGATGTTGAAGTGGCAAATATTCATAACCATACCCCTTTAGTACCAGTTTGATTAAGTAGGTACATTTGGGATTATTTGACTGTTTTTTTTTTTTTTTTACACCTATAGAAACTTCCATTATGACACTTCCATTGTAAGTGTGAAGACTTAATATGGAGGCATTATTCATAGGAGGAACATGGCTATTTTGTTAAAAATATAGTTTCAACTCCTAGTTCTATTATATATTCTTCTTGTTGAGGACTGTAAGGATATCCAAGAATTCTCTTCTCCTATTTGAATTATATCAGAAGAAAAATGATTGGTACATAGGAATAGGAAAAAAAATCAATTTTATTGCTGAGCAAAGGTGAAATGGAGGACTTGGTTTTTGTGTAACAACTGTGAGGTTCTAATATTGAAACAGACATACTAGACATTTATTTCCTCCCACTCCAGGCACTTTGAACAATAGTAGTAGTTTTAACATGGGGATCTTCCCCTTTAATTTTAGAATTCATCGTTCAGTCCTGCAGGTATATGGCCCCAAAAGAAAGCAGAGAGGTGAAAAGCTACTGCATAACATTTGGTTTTCTGGGAAAATCTTCTGTCAGGCAGGACATTTCACCTCAGGAGTAACTGGTGGGGTAGCAGGCCAGGAGTTATTGAGAAAATTTTTTTTAATGAAAACCAGAAGACAGATGGACATCCTTCCCTTCAACACAAGACTTAAGAATCTTAATTATTTCATCTGTTACTCAAATAAAAATCGATTTGGGGGTTGGTATTATGTTCAGGCCAATAAATTTTGCGTATGGAGACTTAAAGATGTCTATCAAATAACCACCCTCTCTAGTTTTTGAAATTAGGTTATTATGATAATTGATGTGTGTGTAGGAGGGAACACTTTTTGCCTAGGAGATGAGTAAAATTGGTAATAATTGGGCGAGAATAAGGGTTTGTGAAGTGGGAGGAAGCACACAACAAAAGAAAATGTCTTAGAGAATCCATTACTATCACATTCTCGCAAATTTAACCCAAGGCATCCAAACTTTACTCAACCAGTCATCTTCAGGTCATTGGTATGAACCCAAGTTTTTATTAATTCTTCAATCCAATAGTTCTCACAGTGTACTCCCTAGATGGATAGCATCAACATTGCCTGGAAATTTGATTGAAATGCAAATTACGGAGCTCCTACTTAATCCTACTAAATTTAAAACTCTGGAGGTGGGGCCCAGCAATTTGTGTTTTAACTGGTCCTCCAGGTGACTTTGGTACATGCTGAAGTATGTGGACCACATATCATGATTTTAAAGCATCCTCATAATAGTTGAATAGCTAAAGATTAATTTCACTTGGAAGTATGTTTTTGAGTTCCTTATCATCATCTTATTAAATATTTTGGGAAGGAACAGGTGGATTGCTTGGAGATGGAGAAAATTTGAATCAGTAAACCATAGCTTGGCCTTAAATGCCAAACACCCAGGAGTGATTGAACTGCATTTTCCTCTTGTAGGTTCAGATAGTATCACGGAACCTATTTAAAAAGCTAAATGTAGTAGCAAAATGCACAAGGGATTTGATGTAGGAGACTTCAGAAAAAGAACGAACCTGGGGAGAAGTGGTTATGATTTATATAGAGGGACTTGAAGATCAGGAAGACAAAGGACTGTACAGAAGAAGTATTTTCAAAGGTAGAATTAACCAGACTTAGTAACTGAACCTGGAGAGGATGGAATCAAGTATAAGATTTCAAGCCTAGGTGATTAGGGTGATGGTGATTGTGGAAAGGAGCTTATTAGGGAATATAATGAATTCAATCTTTGACTTGTTCACTTTGAGGTGATTGTTTAAAGGATATATATGGAAAAAGAAGAATCTTTAGATAAGTCTCTAGGTAAGTTAGAATCTAAGAGGAGATAGAATTGTGGTGAAGAAATTGAAGCACTGCATTCTTTTGTTTCTCCGACTTTCATTTTCTACCATGGTCTGGCACAGTTCTGGGTTCTGAAAATATAGTGGCAAACAAACCCTACCCTCAAATAATATTGTAGGTGGAGTTAGACAAAATAATAACATAAGCAAATGAACAGGATTATTTCAGATAAAACAGAAAAGACTAAAGAGTAGAGAATTCTTTAACTAGGGAGTCAAAAGAAAACTTGAACTCGGTATGGTGGTACATGACTATAATCCCAGCAGCTCAGGAGGCTGAGGCAGGAGGATCATGGGTTCAAAGCCAGCCTCAGCAATTTTGTAAGACTGTAAGCAACCTAGTGAGACCCTTTCTTGAAAAAAAAAAAAAAAGAGAGAGAGAGAGACAGGCCTGAGGTGGTGACCTGTGCCATTAAATCATGTGGAAGATAGTTTTATTTTGGAAAGTCAGAAGATGGTAGAGTGGCAGAGTGGCCAAGGAGAACTGCAAAACTGTATTAAAGGGTTCATTGAGTTTTTTTGACCTTTCAGAGGCTGTTCCATGTGAAAGATTTAGAGAGATGGCTCCATGTATGAAAAGGAAAGTAGAATTAAAAATAGTTGGCACTCAGATATTTCAGCCATTTGTTGTGCAGAAAATTCAATTTCACAGGGCCTTAATCCTTCTTAGGAGAGTACAGAGTAGTAACACCTCCCAGGTTTAAATTGTGATGATCAAATGAGAGAATGAATCTTATTTTATCAACCATAGTGCTTGGAACTAAGTATTTCAGTAATAGCTGTTAGTAACAGTAACACTGAAAAAGGAAATTCGGTTATGGGAAAAGCAGTTTCATTTAATAATGATGAGATCGGATATCTTTTGATATATGATTTTATTTAGAAGTCATACTTGGATCTTTTATCATGCATGAAAATTTTAAAGGTATGAAACAAATATTTTATAAGCAAACAATGTACCATGATTAGCTACCTGATGGCATTTAGAAAGTGTGCTTATGTGCATTACACTGTAGAATGGATCTTACTAAATTTTACATATTTTATTGCAGATGTGTACATCTCATGATTGATGTGAAGAAATGAGTCATGGACCAAAGGTCAAGATACTTCTCTGGGAAATGTTGCTGCTGATGCTGCTTTACAAAGTCACACAATGAAGTGTTTGGTTTAAGAAAGATTTTCATATTTAAAAGATTTTCATCTTGGAAATATATCAAGTGAAAATTAGATTTTTTTGGGAAACATTTTCCTCCTAATAAATTATACTTGTAATGGGCGACATGGCAAACAACTCAGTTGCATATAGTGGTGTGAAAAACTCTTTGAAAGAAGCTAATCATGATGGAGACTTTGGAATTACGCTCGCAGAGCTTCGGGCTCTCATGGAGCTCAGGTCCACAGACGCATTACGAAAAATACAGGAAAGTTATGGAGATGTCTATGGAATTTGCGCCAAGTTGAAAACATCTCCTAATGAAGGTGAGTTTTATTTTGTTTTTAGTCCTTTGTTCAGAGAGTGCTATATATTTGACTCATAAAAACATGTTTATATTGGTTTATATTTTCTTGGCTATTATGTGACCATGGCATAATTGTAGTGATGTTAAAAATAGGTACCTGATTGGTACAGTTAAAGTTAAATTTAGACCAAGAAATAATGTTATAGAATAATTACATGTTTCAGACTAGTGGGATGAAATAGTTTGTCTCGCTGTATGTATTATTGCTGCCTGTTTACAATAACAAGATTGTCTTTCCATTCGAGCTGTAGAGGATGGAAGCAAGCTTGGTAGCCCCCAGGGGATTCAGTGGAAATAAACCCTGCTCACTATTCTTCATTTTGCCAGGTGGTTTAAAATAGTTGTCTTTGCCAGTAGCTGACCAAGTCCTTTTCAACTTACAGGGCATAATCTAGACTTTAATTATTAGTTCAGGAGGTCCTAAAGCAAAGCTTGTAGTTTAGATGGCACATAGTTTTTCACTTAGCAGACATTTCTTTGATTAAAAATAGTTTTCAAACTTTGGACTGAGTTGAATTTTCCCTCATTCAAAGAAACTTTTGGTTTCATAATTCTTGATTTGTCCGAAGTTTCCTTTTGAAATCAAGAAGGGAAAATTTATTGTAACTTCATTGCATTATGGTCTTTGAAATGATTTGAAAAGATGATCTTTGATACGTTGATTGTGTTGAACATAAAATTTACGTTAGGAAATTTCAAGAAGACATTTAAACATTGCAAAGGTGAGAGTAGAGGGAACATATGAGGATGAATGTTTGGTAATTATAATTTATTTTAGTAAAGATGGGGAATTATTACTGTAATATATTAAGTTAGTATATATTCCAAAGTCACTTCTAGAGAAATTATGCAAAAGTGCTTTTCTTAACATATTTTCTGAAACATGCCACATTGCTGCTCATGATAATATTTAACATAATAACAAAAAGTAATTTTCCAAGATTAGAATTTTAAATCACACCAAATATTCTTTGAACATTCATGTAATTTTCTACTGTATCGATAAATAGTTCCTTTGATTTCTCTGAAGTGGTATAACTTAGAAAAACTTAGTGTCAGTATTCACTCATGTCCTAAAAAGCCTTCTTCAGATACTTGGTGTATCCTCTTTTTCTATAAGACCTGTTAAATTTAAGCTAAACCTAAATTGATGAATGCTTCATGATCACCAGATTAACAGGTGATGTTAACATTAAAGAGTCCTCAGTATGACAACAGTTTGTTCATAAAAGCCTTGTTGAGCTCCAGTTTCAGTTCTATACTTAACTGTCTTCCCCTCTCTGCTCTTAATCAAATTTCTTGTTTTCTAATACTGAATACCTTCCTTTATGCCCTCTCATTTTTAAAAACGTGATTTCTTCTTGGTTTGCAGTACAGTTTTTTTCTGTGCTCTTATTTTGGGTAGAATTCCCTACACTGATTATGGTTTAACTAGTGAAGTTAATTGAAACTTTGCTTCTAGTATAGTGGTTTATATTTTAGGAAGCAGTGATTACATACCATTTTGACAACATGGTAGAAGCAATGGATAAGCTCTAGAACTTTTGACATTAAGAATTTTTTGTGAATTATTGGTAGTCTGTGCATTAAATAAAATATGCATTATTTTTTCCTCTTCTTTGTTTACAAATCTTTTGCTCTTGTACTTCCTGGTATTATGAATTTAATATTTGCTAAAATTTGTACAACCTATTGTTTTTAATATTTATATATAAACGCTTAATCATTTTGCAATGTTCTTTTAAAGACTGTAAAGCAAAACATAAGAATCAGATTAGTATTTGCAGTTACTGAAAGTATAAATAAAAATGGCAACAGCTTTCATAGGAATATTATTTCCAAAGGAATTTTCATGATTTTAGTCTAGTAGGAATATATCACTCAGAAGGCATTGAATATTTTGTCACCGAAACATGATCAGAAATGAGCACCTACCAGAAGTTTGTCTGCACAAAGAAATGATCTAGACAGCAAGCATTCTTGTTAGAATAATCTGTTTATACTCTAGGAAATACGGATTTTGATTAGTAAGGCTAAAGTCGTTTGCCTGTGCCTTTAGTTCTTTCATTTATGAATTCATTCATTGGTCCTTTCATCAGACCTAGGATGTTGATTATCGTATATTTTATATACCCTCTTTAAAAAAGTAAAAGTATTGGTTGTTACTGTGAGACAATTATAAGTATATAATTAAATCACATTCCAATTTCAGATATTTTAATAAAATGTAAGAATATGTAACTCTTAGAATGCCGAAATGTGGGTTGGGAGTATAGCTCAGAGGTATAGTACTTGCCTAGCATGTGTCATGCCCTAAGTTTAATCCCCAGCACCACCCCCCATCAAAAAAAAACTGCTGAAATATAGTATTATCAGGTATCTGCTAAGTGTGTAAAGCCTGGAGGAACAACCCAGGAAATTTCTTAAGAACAATAACAACTATAATTATGGATAGCACTGATGATAGGTAGTACTTTTTGTATCAGGTTGGTTATTAACATTTACAAGTATTAATTCGTTTTATCCATCTAATACCTTTACCCTATTTTCAAACCAAAGAGCACAAAAATGGTTAAATACCTTACAAGTCTCACTCTGGTTATAGTCATATTTTTTAATACAATGGCCATGCTTTTAACCACTGTATTTGGTTATAAAAGTTTAGCTCACATAGCTTGTGAACAAGTTGAGATACTATAAAAGAGGCACATGTGTTCTCATCTAATAAGTTTTTATGGAAAAACAGAAATTTTTTGGAATTACGTGGTTAAAAAAAATGGATTATGGTTCTGTGTGTTAGTCAGCTTTCTATTCCCTGTGACAAAATACTGAAATAATCAACTTTAAAAGGAGGGAAGGTTTATTTTGACAATTTTGGAAGCTTTGGTCTATGGTTGGTTGGCCTATTGCTTCCAGCCTATGGTGAGGCAGTACGTCTTTGGCAGGAATACAGGGCAAAGGAAACTGTCTCATGGTGGATGGAAAGCAGAGAGAGAGAAAGAGAGAGGAGAAGCCAGAGTCCCATTATTCCTTTCAAGGGCATGCACTTTAGGACCTAACTTCCTTCCACAAGGTCCCACAGCCTAAAGATTCCACCATTCTTAAATAGAGCCACAAGATGGGAGCACACCTTCAACACATAGGTCTTTGGAGACATTAAAGATCCAAACAACAGCATTCTCTGTGGCAATCTAGTCTTTAAAAGCATGCCCCCACCTTATCAGTCAATTACATGTTTGTGATTCCTTTTTGTCACACCATACTTGTTCTCTAATAGAGTAGTTCTTGAACTTGTTCTAAGACTGCATGGGTACTGACCAAAAGGAATTATTTTGAACCAGATGTGAGTTTTTTACATTTAAAACTTCTTAGCAGTTCTGATAACCATCATTAAAGGAACTGGAACTGTAAAATTAACTGGAATTGAGATTTGTAACTTTGTATTTTTAGCTCTTTCTTTTAGAGCGAGCATCTGTTTCATAGTCTTCAGAATCTAAGAATGTACTTTTATATCAAAATAACCTGCTTGGAACATCCTAACTGCATAAAGTTACCTTAACAATTTTTGGTTTTGTATCTTGGTTATTTTGCTACAATTGACTTTTTTATTCATATTCTAAATCATACTTCTTGTTTCTTTTTTACAAAAGCTTTTGGTATCTTTTTTATTTTAATATGTTCCTATGTTGTCTATGTTATATTTTATTGAATAGTAGGTAGTCTTTCTCTGGTAATAGAATTTCAGGAATGCAGGCCTCTATACCTAGTACCTTATTTTTCAGTAGTATTACATTGAGCAAAACATAAAAATAAATACATAAAAATTAAAGGTGATACCAGTTGGTATTCTGTAAGAGGCATGGCTTTATGGACTTATAAAGGGCAAGAAGTTAAGTGAGATCTTAAGATTTTTGGTGGTTGCTACAATTAGGTAGAAGAGGAAAAAAGCAAAGCAAATAAGAAAGGAGACAGATAAACTAAAGAGGTGTGGTAGGAAGCAAAGTGGGGTCAACAACATTTCTCCCGGATTGCCCAAAGTTTCCGTGATGTTTCAGATGACAGTTTATATTTGCACTTGCCAAAGTAAACCTGTTTTAATGGTGTCCTTTGACCATGTTTTAATGGTATAATAGAATAAAACTAACAAACATGGAATTATATTTTAGCTCTTTAAGAAAATCAGCCCTTTACTCATGGTAAATCATTATTAGCTTATAAGCTACTATAAGAATTCTCTTATGCCCCCATGTATATGCTTGGTTAGCACAGGCACTAAGCAAGTATTTTCATGGCCATGTGTGTGTCAGCCATCTATGTTTTTATATTTGTAAAGAGTCATCCTTGAAATTTTTATATTGATGATCATGCATGACCTTGTCCTAGAAATTTAGTGCTACTATATAATGGATAATTATATGTTTATTGTAATAAAATTGTTTTTAAAAGTCATAGTTGAAAATATTGAAGTAGCACAGCCTTTTGTATGTTGTTGTTGTTGTTTAAGCTTATTTTTACTTTTCAGGTCACAGTAGACATACTTCCTATTAAATAATTCTTTTCCCAGTGTCATACATTCAGTTTTCTTTCTTCCTGTCTGGCCAATCTCATCTAGCCAATCTCCTTTGCTTTACTTTAAACATTGATTATCTGAGGTTTCCATCTGTCTGTATATCCTCCTCTTCATCTATACACTCTTGTGGTGATGACATCCATGCCTGTCACTACACAAGCCATCTGGGTACTGGTGATTCCCACTTGAGCAGCTCATTCAGGATCGCCCTCAAGCTTTGGTCCTGAAAACCTGATTCCTAACTCCTAGCTTTCTCTTAACCCAAGGGTGTCTACTTGTGCATGTCCATGCTACTCCATTTGAGGTCACCATTCTCTCTTGTGCTAATTCAGGTAACATCATGATTGGTGCTTCTTCCTATCTTCTTTTACACTATCACTTTCCTGCTTAAAGCCAGTAGTAGTTTTGTTTTTCCTTCTGATTGAAGTTTAGACTTAGTTAGGCTTACAAATCTTGGGATCTAATCCCTAGTTACTTTTCTAATCTCATCTCCTTTTCCCAATTCCGCACCTCAGTGTTTAGGACATAGCAAAATTTTCAGTTATCTTAAATACTATTATGTCATGTGTGCTTTTGCTTCTGGACTGCTGATTTCTCCACCTAAAATACTTTACCTCCACCTAAAACACTACCGTCTATGAAGAATAAAATACTTTATTCTTTAATAAAGATATAGTCCTTAATGTGACTATTTCTTAATCATTCTTAAGAGCTCAAGTTTGATATCTTGGGCATTCTGTTATCTACCCCAGCCCCATAAATTTGTATCTCAGCCCTCTGTATGTATGCCTTCTATATCTTCACCATTCCCATCATAATACTTAATACATGGGGTTGTGTTTAACTGGGTGCTTATCAGTCTTCCCTACCAAACTCTTAAGTTCCTGGAGGGGGAAGTACCAGGGAAGGCATCCTTCAGTCTCACTTCTCTTTGGATGCTTAGTGCCTTTCACAGTTCCAGGCACATAGTAGGCTGTTGGAATTGGATATGTAAATTTGACTTTAGAGAAGGGATCACCTTCTCTTTTGACATTGAAAATGTACATAAACACAGATTTTCACGTCCTTTCTTGATTTGTATGTTTTGATCTGGCCCTCACAGAAGTCCAGTTGGCTGCTATCTCCACCCAAGATCACATACATACATACATACCTGTACACACATACATATACACATAAGGCACAACTTCAAGTACAGAATTTGATAGAACTGTAGTTTGTGTGTATGTTAGCCATGGTTTTTATTTAAACCCATCTTGACAACATTCCAGTAAATTGCCCTATTTCCGTTTCCTAAATTAGTCTAAGCAATTAAAGAAGCCACATTTACTTGTAAAACACCATGGTTTTGATATAATTTGCATTTTATTCCATAAAAATGTCATTCTGTTCAACTATAAAGAAAGTACTGTTGAGCCACTGTGTACTCATAGAATGAATGTAAGCTATTTTTCTCTACAGTCGACCTAAAAAAGCATGTAATTCTGAGGCTGCTTTTGATGAGTTGTGGTTATATATTCTCTTTGTAAAGTTAACTGGACCATTAGGAGATCAATCCCATGCATGACCTTGGCCTCATTGCCACTCCACTGAAGGCAACTGAGCCCACAGAAAAAGACAGAAGATATTTCATTATTTTTACTCATCAATTACTCCTAAATATTAGACTGTATTTGCTTTTGTGCTGCTTTGGAGTCTTCCCATGATTGACTCCTCAACATTCAGACTCAAGTGAAATGCTAGTTCCTCAGAAAGGCTAGTGCAGTCCACTAAGAGAGGTCTAGTGGCCCTTTTATTGTCTCCATTTTACCTGTTTGCGTCTCTAATTATTTTAATTGTATATCTTTTTTTTCTCCTTTCCATGTAATATGTATTTACTGAATGTGGAATTTGTCTTGTTCACACTGTTTCCTCAGTAATAGAACAGTCTCTAAAAGTAGTAAATTTTCAGTAAATATTTGTTGGGTGGCAGACTATTGTTGTAAAATGCTTAACTTTATTATTTAGATTAGTAAACTTATTATTAGAAATTAACTTCCCTCAAAATAGAGTTGACATCCATTCCATGCAATAAATTTGTAACATGTCTTCCCCCTTAATAACAGTTACCATTTAATTTATGACATATCTTTGGTACTTCAAAATAGTTGCAAGTCACACCAACAAATATTAATACTCTCTTCACCACCAAGGGGGTCAAGTGGCTTAAACAAGATTTCCATAAGTAAACTGTCCCTGGGTCTTCTAAACCAGATAGTTTTATTGGTGTAGAATCCAACATATGTGCTGCTGCTAGTTTAGAAGATTCACAATAATTCTTAAAACAAGCTGCTTGGGCTGGGGATATAGCTCAGTTGGTAGAGTGCTTGCCTCACATGCACAAAGGCCCTGGGTTCAATCCCCAGCACCAAAAAAAAAAAAAAAAAACTAAAACAAGTTGCTTTTTTTTTTTTTTTTTAAAACATCCCCAAGTCCCGAAAGCTATCTTTAGCTCTATAACTATTCTTTTCAACATTAACCTAAAATCTTGGCTTCTGTTATAAACAGTAAAAGTTAAGATTTGACTATTTTTTTTGTTATATTGGTGATATTTAAATAACGTTATATATTCAGTTAATGGTAAAGTCTATTATAGTATGAAATAAAGTATATAATTAATACCTTCAAACACATTTCTTGGGGGTAGGGGAGTGGAGACCAATCCAGGGAGGGTTAGTAGCCCTTTTTGTTTCATTTTCTTAGGGCACTAAAACATGAGACAAGGCAAAGCTACCCAATATTCCCACTATGTGATACTAATCTTATTACTATAGTCCTTCACTGCCTTTCCTTTCATTGACTCCATCTCTGTTCTCAGGTCTGTGGAAGGTTTTGGTTAATGATATCTGTCATCAGAAATGTAAAATGCTTTTCAAACTGCTCAGTATAGACCACATTGCAGTTGCCAGTGAGAACATTCTCTGGAATCTTTTTTGGTACCTTCAAGAAAGTAAATGATTACATTTACTTTCCCAAAGTACATATTACAAAGTAAGCAATTTGGAAAGTGAAAATTGTTGAATCCATTTGTCATTTATTCCAACAGTCTCTTCAACTCTGCCTGCCTCAGTATTGAGATTAGTAGTTAAAAGAGTTAAAAACAACAAGAGTCTTTCAGTAATCTACTGTTCTCCTGTCTTCCTTCTTTGATATTTTTCCTGGAATAGACTCTTACAAAAAAACAAGTTGAAGTTAGGACTAATATGGTAAATTAAAAGTAGTGTTATTCTTGTATCTCTGACCCTTTCCTTGACATTCTTAAATAGCCTAAGGGAAAATTTGATTGGTCCCTGCTGTCTGTGTTGTTATGCTCCAGAACATGTATGTGTGTGCACTTTGCATTAGATAACTGGATATATCTGGGTTTGGCAGGATCAACAGGGTTAAATTAGAGGGGTGTGCTTGATGGGATGAAGGAAAGACAAAAGTGTTGTCTAGTCACCTCTCAGTCTCCTCCATTGCTAATTCTGCATTCCAAGAAATAAAAATCATGTCCCACCGTGTGCCTTTTCTCTTAGAGTGACAATAGATAGTCAGTCAATAGCACTACCTGTTTCTTAAAAGAAAGGTCATTCTAAGTTTCCCAGTATTGTGACTTGGAAATTGTTTATCAGTCAGTATGACAGACATTTTAGTAGAAAAGCTTTTAGAGGTTGTGATAAGTTAACTTTCCATCAGTTGTCAGTAAGTGAGGAGGGAATACTATAGACTCCTCAGTGATTAGGTATTCAAGGTTCAATAACAAAATCAAATTGGCAGATATCTCTCTGCATGTAAACTTCCCTCATTTCCAGAGAGAAAGCATCTTAAGTAAATGTCAGGGAAAAGTTTATCCCAACATAAAAACCATCAAACTATAATCAGTTCTGGTCTGTATCAGTCTACAAGATGGCTTAAGATAGTATAATAAAAAGTAAGCAATTTGGAAAGTGAAAATTATTGAATCCACTCGTTGTCGTCCTAAAATGTTTCTTTAAAGCAGTACACGTGTTTTTCAGTAATTTAAGTTTTGTATACTTTGGTCTAAAGCACAATAAACATTTTTATAGCATCTTATGAATAGAATTTAAACTGTAATGAATTAATGTTTAGAATAAAATAGGTATTTTCACATGTAAGTAGTAAAAGTGTTCATTGAAATTTGTTTCCTTTTATTAGGCTTAAGTGGAAACCCTGCAGATTTAGAAAGAAGAGAAGCAGTGTTTGGAAAGAACTTTATACCTCCTAAAAAGCCAAAAACCTTTCTTCAATTAGTATGGGAAGCATTACAAGATGTCACTTTAATTATATTAGAAATCGCAGCCATAGTATCTTTGGGCCTTTCTTTTTATCAACCTCCAGAAGGAGATAATGCACGTAAGTAAATGTGGGTAGGGGATATGTGTGATTCCAGTTTACTTCCATTCATTTACTTCATATATTACCATAGCCAGCCAACATTTATTAACTGTGTTATGTGCTAAGCCCTGTTCTGAATACTTTAAAAGTGGGTTATATTATTTCAGATAATTTTCACAATAACCCCAAGAGTTAGCGTCACCTGCATTTTACAGCAAGGCATAGAGGTTATTACATGTGAACATTTCACATGTATGACATTGTACTATCAGGGTTTTTAAGATTTTTAGGACATTATTCTATTATGAAATAATTCCAGTTTTTTATTTTTGAATATTTTGAAACTATTGTTATGAAAGCAAAATTCTATTCCCAAATCCATTACTTTTCAAGTTCTTAAAAATATTTTGTTGTATCCGTGTTAATGTATGTTTTTACATACATACCTTGTTTGCCATTATATAAATGTTTATTTTACAGATTGAACTTTCCTTATCTGAAATGCTTGGAACTGGAAATTTTGAATTTCAGACTTTTTTGGATTTTAGAATATTCATAGATACATATTAGATACCTTGGGTAGGGGACCCAGGACTAAACAAATTTATTTGCATTTCATACGTACCTTTTATTCATAGCCCAATAGTGATTTTATATAATATTTTAATAATTTTCTGCATGAAACAAAGTTTCATGATGTAGAATTTTCCACCTGTGGCACCGTGTAATCGCTCAAAAGGTTTCAGATTTTAGATTTTGGAATTAGCAATGTTAGAGTTATAAAATGTATCCTGACCAATGGAGGAAATACACTGAATTATGGGTGGATCTGCTTTAACTTGTCATTATAAATTATTTTGTTTGCTCCTGTCTTTTTATACCTTTCATTTATCTTTTAAATTTCTTCCTTATATATCACAAGATGGATTTCACCAAATATTTTTGTTTGGGGAGTTTCATTCTTAGTACTTTCAAGCTATAGAGAGTTTAATAAATATTTGGTAATTCTAAAAGTTGGCTTATGTAATCACATGTCATTCCTTTGAAGGTGTGCCTAGTGCTGATGCAAAAATTTATTTTTCTAAAAAAAAAAAAAAAAAAAAAAATCATCCAAGCACATAATAAGCCCTTAACAAAGGTCATCCATCAGTATTAGTTACAACTGGAGTGCAGGAGCTAGCTAAAATGTTTCTGATAGACTCAAGCAAGGAAGATCTAATCTTCATGTTATCCAGGAGAAACTGAGGCTCAAAAATCTTAACTAGAATACTGTAATCCATTCTTTTTTTGCTACCTTGATTCCCACCTGTCTTAAATCATCAATAAATGCTTATAAGTTTAAATTCATGAAAGGGAAATAAATGTGAATTGTGCCTGATTGTTAAAACCCTGGAATGCTTAGTCACTGAGCCACACTCCCAGCTCTTTTTTAGTTTATATATATATTTTTTATTTTGAGACAGGGTCTCATTAAGTTGCTTAGGGCCTCACTAAATTGCTTAGGCTGACTTTGAACCTAGAATCTTCCTACGTCTGCCTCCTAGGCCACCGGGATTACAGGCATGTGCCACTGTACCTGGCTAAAACATATTTTTTTCTTTTGGAGAAAGTTGGTTACAGAATAAGCTCGTCTATCAGAGATCCATGTAGAGCAGCACTGTTGACGTTTTGTGCCAGAAAATTTTTTGTTGCCATGTTCATCGTACCACCTTCCAGTTGAGGAAACCAAAAATGTGTCCACATTTTATTAGGTGTTCTATAGGGGGCAAAATTGCCTCTGGTTGAAAACCACTGATGTAGATGAGATTTAGGCAATGCTCTCTTGTCATTATTGAGCCAAATTATTTTTCTAACTTCATTTATTCTTATTAAATAAAGTTTACATATTTTGCTATTAAAAAAGTTAGGAGAAGAGATGGTTCAAATGAAGTAATATTCATGGAAAAAATCCCACTTTCTAGAGATTTATGGTATACCATTTTTTAAAAATATTTCCTTCCAGATTTTAAAAGATGGGTTTTATGTCTGTGTGCTCACATATGTGACTAAGCATGCATAGATAGATGTGGGAGATGTATAGATATGTCTGTTGATCTGAAAAGTGAGGTCATACCAGGTTTAGCAATGTAGAGTTGAATTTTTCAGTTTTCCATGTACCAACGGTCACTGTAGAATATTAACAATTTGTATTTTAGAGTTGAGTGAGTTGGCAAATTTTCAAGAATATCTTTACTTTCAAATTTTGTTCAAAAGACTAAAAGAAAACTAAAGAAAATGATTTTCAGTGGAGTGGAATTCATTACACAACAAGGTCTAGGGCAAATCTTTCTGGAATTCAAACTACTTCATTTATAGGATGTACTTGATGGCTCCTTCCCATATCTGTTACCAATGCTGGCATCAGAATCCATCCACTGACAATCTAGAATTGTCAGTGTCATAAAGCCATTTTAAAAGCTCAGAATACACTGGAAGTTTTTACTAAAACATAAAGATATTTTTGCTCCATTTCATGTTGAAAAGTTAGTGTTTGCACTTTATTTTTTTAATATTTGTAAGAATACTGCATATATCTGCTTTTCCAATTATGTTTTAACACTAAGCAGTAATAACTTGCTTAAAGAAAGGGCATATTTGTAAATCCCCAGTCATTGAACTCTAAATTATCAAAATTTCTTGCTAATGGTTGGCATGAAAATGTGCCCACACCATGTACAAACCTGTGATTGCTCATGTTTGCATACCAGTGGTTCTTGACATTTTGGTATCAGGGCACGTTTGGACTCATGGTATTGAGGACTATAAAGAGCTTTTTATTATGTGATTTATTTATAGGTATATAGTGCTAAATAGAGAAATCTTTAAATGCTAATGTGTTCTCACAGAGTGGGGGCTTGGTAGCCATATAAGGTGATAGACATGTTAATTCACTCATTATGGTAATCACTTCAAAATGTAGATATGTATCAAAAAAGTGTATGCCTTAAATATATGAATTTTGTCACTCATACCTCAGTAAAGCTGAAAAAATATTTATCAGTGCATTTTAAAATAAGCCTATTATAGTTAGTATAGATGAGTAGCATTTTGATAGTAACTAACTATCCTCGTCACCTCCCCAAGTAATGAAATTTTTAAGGAAATAATGAAAAAGGTGGTGGTGTTTTCCACTTCTGTGTCTGTATTTAATGTCTGGCTTAATTGAGAGCTGGGTTCTTCTATCTCCTTCTGAATTTAGTGTGTCACATTATCTCATATAATGTTATCTTTGGAAAATTCTATTACACATCAGTGAAAGATAAGGCAAATAATGTTTTAGTGTTACGAAGAGTGAAGATGAAAATTAGGTTGTGCATATCAATATATACACAGGGAAACACTTTGGTAAAATAGATTTTTGTTATTGTATTTGTACTTTTTAACTGAAAACATTAAAATACTTTTTTATGTGGCTGTAAACTAATATTTTTGTAACTTTGAACATGGTGTTATTTTCTTTTTTTCTACAGCTCCTCTAAAAATTTGTAATAGTCAAAAATAGGAAAAGGATTCAATTTCTAGAAATATTTTGCTACTATTTCACTATCATTCTGATCTTATCTATATAATATAGAGGAGTGCCATATATGAAATGAAGTGTGTCATTAATTTGTTTCAAATTCTCTTTTGAACTATTCATTCATTTAGTGATAAATATGCATGTGAGTTTTAAAACTGAAAATTATGTAATTGTCATACATTTTCTTCTTCTTAGCCTCTGTTACATTGATCTTTAAAACTTTTTTGGTTAATTACTCTTATTAGTAAAAAGTTTGAGCACATGCCTCTATATTACTTATAAGTTTATGTACAACTATTTTTGTAATGTATTTTAAGCATATTCAAAAGTAGAAAATGGATAAAAAGGTTTAATTTTTTTTAATAGCTGTAAAAAAGTGTTAAGCCTAATTTGATCTAAGTTGATTTACTTCTTAACTTGGTTTTATCTTTCATAGCTTAAAAGAAACATATATTTATTTATCCAAGTTGAAAAGTGTACTCACTTAATCATGATACTCATTCTCAGTTCATCTATCAATTACATGAAATTTTTTGTTGAAGCATGACAGATTCCATCTTCTGATGTCAGTTGGTTCTTGCACATTATTATAAAATATTGTTTTTTCTGTTTTTAATAAACTATATAAAACCCACTTATTGCTTCACTTGGATAATATTTTAGCTGTGTTTTCAGGTTGATGAAAGTGTTCAGTGTGGCATTTCAGTGTTCATCTGTTCTCAAATCCAGACTTGCTCTAATTCAGAGTGTTACTGTTAATCTCCTATCCTTTTGGTATGGAAAGGATGAAGAAGAGTTGTCCTTAAGCTTCCTATGTTTAAAAGAAATGTAAACAATAATTCTCTTAATTTGTTATTATATACAATGACATGATCCTTCCTTAAGCTTGAAAATAATTAAAACATAAGTTGCAGTATTTGAGTTGACCATTCGGCTCTGTAGAAAAGTTGCTTTATACCATTAATGACTGAATCCTACTGATAGTTCTCAGGATACTTTCTGTGGATATTCATCTCTCTCTTCCATTTCATCCCCTGTTGATCTTATAATTATGTTGCCTTTGTCTTAAAACTGTCCCACTTGCGTCTCCCAAGATTAATCTTCAGTTAGCGTCCTCATACCCAGGATCTCTTCTTCAGTCTCTGCACACAGTTCTGGAACATGCTTATTCATTGCTAGTGTCACTTATTTACTTATTTTTCTGTATCATTTTTCCTCTGCTTTGTTTGTCCAACCAGTGACTTTCAGGCATTTCAGTTCAGTGGAAGATAACATTTACATAGCAACCCAGAAGAATATATCCCATCAGTTGATATATATAAACAGCCAGAGTAAAGCTTCAAGAAATAATACTTAAAACTCTTCCTACATCATCCTTATTTTTTTCTGTTTCATTTTTCAAAGTATTGCTTGTGGGCCACTGAATTGATTTTAGACTCACAAGTACATTATAGCAGAAAGCCCAAAAACCATCATTCCATTTTTCTTCACTGTATTGACCCCCACGGTTTTGGGGTTTTATAGGTTTCCATCCCCATTCTTTTCTGAACTCTTTTTCTGACATACAGCAATTGTACTGACTTTAATCTGTCATTGAAATCCTCTTCCCTTGAGTCTATATGGCTGGTTCCCTGTTAACATTTGACTCCTAGCCCAAATGTCACAGACACCTCAGAGGGGCTTCCTTAGTTCATACAGCCTCTATTAACCCTCCTCATTTCATAGCACATCAGCATGTTTTATTTTCTTTGTGGCACTATAGATCTCTGAAGTTAATTGTTTGTTTCTTCATTATTTGAATTTGTTATATACCATCCCTGCCTACTGGTCTGCATGTGAAATCCATGAGCTCATATGTTTTATTTACTTCTCTATCTCGATCTTCTAAGATAGTATCTGGCACCTAGTAGGTTCTTGTACAGTTGAATAAGAAGTAGCACTTTGCACTTTTTTTTTTTTTTTTTTTAACAAATTGAAGGTTTGCGGCGACCCTGTGTCCACCAAGTTACTTGGGTATTGGCATGTACTCACTAATGTCTCTGGTCACATTCTTCTGGGTCCCATTTGGTAATTTTCACAGTATTTTAAACTTGTTCATCATCTTATATCTATTGTGGTGATATGTTATCAGCGATCTTTGATCTTACTATTGTGCTTGTTTGGGGGTACAACAAACCACAGCCATGTAGGACAAGTGAACTTAGCTGAAAAATGTTGGGTTCTGATTACACCAGTGGACCATGCCCCCATTTTTCTTTCCTTCAGGCCTTCTTATTCTCAGGCAATAATACTGAAATAAAACTAACTAATTCTTCTACAATGTCATATAAATATCAGGTGAAAGAGTAGCATGTCTCCAATTTCCAGTCAAAATCTAGAAGTGACTAAGCTTACTGAGGAAGGCATTTGAAAACAAAGATAGACTGAAAACTAGTTCTTTTTTGCCACACGGGCCAAGTTGTAAATGCAAAGGAAAAGCTCTTAGGACAACTTAAAGGTGCTACTTCAATGAACATACATTGATAAGAAAATGAAATAGTCCATTGCTAATAGGGAGAAAATATATAAGTGGTCTAGATAGAGGATCACAACATTTCTGTAAGCCAACGTCTAATCTAGAGTAGGGTGCTAATTGATTTCAATTCCATGAAGGCTTAAAGAAGTGAGGAAACTGCAGAAGATAAATTTGAAGTCAGCAGCAGTGGGTTCGTGAGGTTTAAGTGAAGAACTCTTTTTGGGGGAACATGTAAGTGTAAGGTGAAGCAGTAATTGCTGATATAAGCTGCAACAATTTGTCTAGAAGATGTAGCTATAATGATTGATGAAGGTGGTTACACTAGACTACAGATTTTCAGTGTATGTGAAACAGCCTTATCTTAGAAAAAGATGCCATCTAGGACTTCCATAACTAGAGAAAAGTCAATACCTGGCTTCAAAGTACAGGCTCACTTTCTGTTATTGGCTGATGCAGCTTGTGACTTGAAGTTGAAGCTAATGCTTATTTGCCCATTTCAAAAATCCTTAAGAATTATACTAAATCTTTGCCTAAATGGCAGAACATCTGTTTATAAAATGATTCTTGAATATCTTAAGACCATGGTGGAGGCTCACTGCTTGGGGGGGTGGGGCGGGGATTCTTCAAAATATCATTACTAACTAACCATGAATCTGGGCACCCAAGAGCTCTGATCAAGATGTACAACAAAATTAATGTTGTTTTAACATCTGCTAACATAACAGATGTAACTGTTGATTATTCTACAACCCATGATCAATGAATAATTTTTACCTTTGAATCTCATTTACAAAAGACATTAGATGGATAATGATCCCTTTGGAACTGGATCGAGTAAATAGGTGACTTATTTCCTGAAGATTTTCAGTTTATGTAGAAACCATTGAAGACATTGATGATTCATTGGAAGAACTCAAAATATCAGAATTAATAATAGGTTGGAAGTGGATTCTATCATGAATGATGTTGAGGGGTTCACAGCTTCAGTGGAGAAAATAACTGCAGATGTGGTGGAAACAGAAGGAGACCTAGAATTTGATATGGGCCCTGAAGATGTGACTGAATTGTTGCACTTTTGTGACAAAACTTGAATGGACCAAGAGTTTCTTGTAGATGAGCAAAGAAAGTGATTTCTTGAGATGGAATATACTTCTGATGAAGATGCTGTAAACACTGTTGAAATGATAAGGAATTTAGGATATTATGTAGACTTAATTGATAAAGCAGGAGTAGGATTTGAAAGGATTGACTCCAATTTTGAAAGATCTGTAGGCAAGATACACTTTTACATCATCAAGTGCTGAAGAGAAGTCTTTCATGAATTGATGTGGCAAATCTCATCATTGCCTTATTTTTAAGAAAGCTCAACTACCGCTTCATCCTCCATCAACCACCACCTGATCATTCAGTAACCATAAACATCAAGGCAAGACCCTCTACCAACACAACGTTATGACTTGCTGAGGGCTCAGATGATTGTTAGCATTTTTTGACAGTATTTTTAATTAAGTATTCGTTTTTTAGACACACTACTATTGTATACTTAATAGTCTTCAGTTCAGTATAGACACATGCACTGGGAAACCAAAAAAAAATTGTGTGACTCACATTTTTGCAATGTTCATTTTATTGCAGTGGTCTAGAATTGAAACTGTGACACCTGTGATTTGATCTTCAGCGTGTTTTCTTCTAGTACCCTGGACCATCTCCCCATCCTACTGTTGAAATTCTCAGGGACAGGGAACTTGAAATTGACACAGTAAACATTCTTGAATTTGTAGATACTTGGAGTTCACAGGGTGTCTAAAACTATAAGTAGAATTGATGAAATAAAAAATTAATACATGAAAACATTGTTTAGACATATATATATATATAGTCATCCATTCAAAATTTTTTTTTTTTTTTTTTTTTTTTTTGATAAGCATTTTCTTTCTTCCCATTAGTTTGTGGAGAAGTTTCTGTTGGGGAGGAAGAAGGTGAAGGTGAAACTGGTTGGATTGAAGGAGCTGCAATCCTCTTGTCAGTGGTGTGTGTGGTATTAGTTACAGCTTTCAATGACTGGAGTAAGGAGAAACAGTTCAGAGGTTTGCAGAGTCGAATTGAACAAGAACAGAAGTTCACCGTCATCAGGGGTGGGCAGGTCATTCAGATACCTGTGGCTGACATTACTGTTGGAGATATTGCTCAAGTGAAATATGGTAAGTATGAAGGAGTAACACATATGATCTAAATGTAAAATTTATTATAATCTTGTTTCTGGTTCAACATGTCACTACTTTTTGTTTTAGGCGATCTTCTTCCAGCTGATGGCATACTTATTCAAGGCAATGATCTTAAAATTGATGAAAGCTCCTTGACTGGTGAATCTGATCATGTTAAGAAGTCTTTAGATAAGGATCCCTTACTTCTATCAGGTATGAAATTTTTTAATAAATTTTGATCTTTTCCCTCCCCCACAGTTATGTACCATTGTAAGCAGTTTCTTTCACTTAAGAGTCCATGATGTGAAGAGGAATCAGTATTTTATACTAGCTTACCCTTAAAATTCTTAGAGACTATTTTTTTTTTTTGTAAAATGACAGACATTACAGGTCTGTATCCAGAGCTATATTTTACAAATGAGGTATCTGAGTCCATAAAAACAAGAGATTTGAAAGCTAGTTAATGTCTAATGATAAAACTAAAATATAATGATATTTATTGAATTGGTTTTGTTCTGTTATCACCTTTATTCTTAAAGCTTTTTGAAGTATAAAATTAAAGAAGGTTTAAAGCAAATTAATGAAAACTCTGTGATGGTGTACTAAGGACAGGTGTTTTGTTTACCTAATCTAACTCGTTCCTTTAACTGGTGAAGAATGAGTCTGAAATGTAAACCATTTATCCAAGATTTGTATGACTAGCTAACAGTAAATACAGGAGTAGCATTCATATATTCCAGTCAGTAATTTGTACATGTTTAAGACTTGGAGAAAAGAAGGATTTGTATAGGTAAGGGTACCATTTGAGAGGGAGAGGTGGAGGCCGTAGCCTAAGTGTGATAACTTGAACTGAGGTTAGTTGGAAATGAAATGGCAAGGATGATGCAAAAAAAAAAAAAAAAAAAATCACAAGCTGGGGCTGGGGATGTGGCTCAAGCGGTAGTGCACTCACCTGACATGCGTGCGGCCGGGTTCAATCCTCAGCACCACATACAAACAAGGATGTTGTGTCCCCCGAAAACTAAAATAAATATTAAAAAATTCTCTCTCGCTCTCTCTCTCTCTCAAAAAAAAAAAAAAACTCACAAGCTGCCTTCTGACATGCAGAATGAGAAGCTGAAGTATCAGAAATGGATGCTAATTTGTTAAGTTGGATTGCTAAGATACTTATTCTTAATTGTCCAGTATTCTCTAAAGAATTTAAGAAACTGTCACAAATATATTTATTAGGTTGAATTTGTATAGAGTTTGGGAGAAGCCAATTGTTGCCTGTTTGTCTTCTACTGTTACTATCAAATGTTAGTGGAATGCTAACATTTTATGCATTGTCAGAAGATTTCTGCTGATTTAACTAATAACTTGGGAACTGTAAATTTTAATCCTTTTCTGTGAGTTTTATATTTTAATTAGTTGAACATGATTTCACTAAAACTGAAGTCAAACCTATGATATCTGCAAGGGTAAGTTAAGTTAGAACCAGAACTTCAGAGCAGAACCTAAGTTTAACTATTGCCTTTTTAAGATTTGTGAATGTGTGATGAAAAAAACTTATTATAAGGCGCTGGGCTGTAGCTCAGTGGCAGAGTGCTTGCCTAGCATGTGTGAGGCACTGGGTTCGATCCTTAGCACCACATAAAAATAAACAAATAAAATAAAGGCATGCTGTCCATCCACAACTACAAAAAAAAATTTTTAAACACTTATAAAAAGAATTATGGTAATTACATGTATATATGCTGAAGAACCTTGCTATAAAAAAATCAGAGTAATTGCATAAATATACACCATTTACAAAAAAAAAAAAAAAAACCTGAGACCTATATACCTTTAGCATTCTATGCCACTTAGGATACTCATCCTGTTTGATTTTTTTATTTGTAGTAGTGTACTTGTAATTCATACCAAATAGAAAAATTTTAATATGTAATATATTTAAGTAATACATATTCATTTTACTGATTCTTTGCATACTTCTGAAAAACTATAGTTAATATTAATCACATAAAATCTATAACCTTGCCAAAGGGAAAGGAAGGTGTCTAATCATACCTTACCACCACAGGCTAACTGGGCCATGTTATTTGGCAAACTGAGATAGTCTCCTGTTGCCTTGTGCTATATATACTTCATGGACTTTTATGTACATCTAGCTTATTTACATAGTGCTTAGCTGTTCAGGTTGATTTCCTTTAACTGAACTTTGGTCTTTTTCTATTTTAACAAGAGATGACTGGTGAGCTTAATGTAGACTCAGGTTCCTAACACAAGTATATCAGAAAAACTATAAATTTTCCATGTTTAAGAAAAGACTGAAATAACTTTAGAGTCCTTTATCACAGTATGGGTGGGAAAGTTTTTCTGCATTTATTTCCCTATTCTAAAAATGTACTAAAAAACATGACATGCATTTATTTTTAAATTTACTCTCATGATGCCATCTCTCATTGCTGTTCTTGGCTTCTTAAATTTAGATTTTTAAAAGCAGTATTCAGTCAGTGGTGGGATATGACCTGAACAAAAATTGTTTACTTTGTCTGAGCACATTAACTGCCAACATCTAATCAGACTGTAAGGAGGAACAGAGCATAAAAACTGAAATCTTCAAAGCCAGAATTGTTAAAAGAAACCAATTGTCCTTTATACATGACATTATTATCTTGAATTTCATTTCTTATTCTTTTGCATTTTCACTGGCAAAGTAAAATATAGATTTTTAGTAGAATGTAGATTTTTGAAAGCAAGAAAACTTTAGTTTTTATATTCTCAACATTCATATTAGACAAGTTACTCAGTAATTAATAGCTAAATATACATCTTTATGTGCTAGAATTAAATACATAAGCTTTATGAGTAAATACCCTGTGAACACTGGTTTGGTATATAAAATGATGGTAGATGCTGCAGACCCTGCCCTCCAGAAGGATTTGAACTGATAAAATGCAAATAAGCAATAAGTGTAAATAAGATTTATTGAATGTAAACAGAGAGAAAGTGAATTTTTGAAGCCTGTTTAAAATTGGTAAAAAGATTAAAATAGCCAGGCATGTGGCATATACCTATAATCCCAGTGACTCGTGAGCCTGAGTCAGGAAGATCACAAATTCAAGGCCAATCTCAACAACTTAAAGAGACTGTCTCAAAATCAAATTAAAAGGACTGGGGTTGTGGATCAGTGGCAGAGGGCCTCTGGGTTCAATCCCTAGTACAGATCAAAAAAAAAAGGATTGGAATAGTAAAATGGGAAGTCTTTTAATGAGTAAGGAACGATGCAGAAATAGGCATGTACAAGTTGGAAAACTATAAATATGCATCATTGTTATAAAAGGAAGATAACCTTTGTCCTTTGACAGAGCTGGATTGGATCTTTGCCTTACCACCTGATAATTATATAACCTTGGGCAAGTTTCTAGAAAATAAGAATAATAATGCTTTTCTGACTATAAGAGTGGTGTGAGAGGCATAATCTGAATTCAGTTTTCCTATCTCTGCTCCCTTGCTTTCTGTAATGGAATTTTATGTTAGAATGGTGGGTGAGAAAGTTTGAAGGTTGGATATTCTCAAGTTATTGAACTTAATTCAGTAAGAAATGTAGTGTCATAAAGTTTTGAGGCATGAGCATATGATGAAATCAGATTATAAGAATATAAAAACACACTTCAGGATGAGCTGGAAAGAGAGATTAGCTAGGGGGCTATTTTTGCAATCTAGGCAGTCTGAACTGAGACTCTAGGGGTAGATAAAGGTTATAGGGTTGGGTGTGAGAAATTCGACATTCATTACAGTGGAATTATTTTTGGATATAAGCACATTTCTTTATAAACAATGTATTTCTCAAAGTATTCCTCACACTTTATGTTATTATTAATAATAATAAGCATTCATTGAACCCTTGACATATATAGGCTTGTTTGAGAAATATAGATCTTATTATATGTCTGTGAAGTGTTAAGTATTTTTATTTGCATTTTATGGATGAGGAATTGAGATATTGTAATTTGCCCTGTATCACGTGTTGATAGAGTGAGCTTTGAACACAAATGATTCTTTAGGTTAAAATCTTATGCACAAGAATTTAGATTTATTTAATGTCTTAATCGGTTTGTTTTATTAATATTGATATTAAGGATAAGTATTACTAAAGCTTCAATTTGATGGTGGGAGAGAAATGTATTATAATTTTTACAAAGTTTTTTGTTGTTATAGGTACTCATGTGATGGAAGGCTCTGGAAGAATGGTAGTTACTGCTGTAGGTGTCAATTCTCAAACTGGAATTATCTTTACCTTACTTGGAGCTGGAGGTGAAGAGGAAGAGAAGAAAGATGAGAAGAAAAAGGAAAAGAAAAGTAAGAATAGCAATTTGTTCTTAAATTACTATTTAGAAATACAGCAGCAGGATCATAAGAACTTCTATAGAAATAGACTTCTTTCGTGAGATTCTGATATGGAAAATTCTACAGAAATTTAATTACCTAATACTATACTTCCAAGTACTAGTATTAAAGGAGAGAATTTTTCTTTTAAACTTAATAGTCCATTCAGAGACCTTTCATGGCTAAAGATAAAACTCAAAGGCAAAAATAATCCATCCAAATATTAAACATTGCCTGCTAGGCAGGCAGTCTTCTACTGAGCTATGCCTCCAGCTCCTTGCAGCAGTGTTGAATATCTGGGTGGATTTTTTTTCCTTTGAGTTTTATCTTTAGCCATGAAATCCTTATTTCAAACAAAAATGTTTTTGGAAAGTTTTGCAAGTGAGGGAGGCAAGCCTCTAGATTTCTCTTACTCTGTTCCTCAAGCCCTCAGTGAACCTCCATAGGTTTCTGAAGACTGAGTGTAGTGTAGTTTGAAAATCAGTGGTGATGGTGATTAAGTGCTTTGCATGCTCCCTCTCTTAGATTCTCACAGCTATGTGAGGTAAAGATGGTTGTTATTTTTACTAATGAGACTTATAGAGATTGTGTAAACTTGTTCCAGGTCAGAGCATTAGTAAGAGACAGATCCAACCTTCTCCATTCTGCTCCATATTAATGTACAAGAGTTAAAAGTCACTAGATCCTATTTAAAAAAAAAATGTTTACATCATTACTTTATTCTTATTGATTCCACAGTATCTTTTCTAATGAGTACCCTTTTTTCCCTAAGATTCCTAGGAATTACTGTCTGTCTCTTTGGTTTTTTTCTTTCCCCCTTCATAAAACAGGACATTTTTCCTTCTGTGGACTTATAACTCTTCTCCCATTCTCTTGACTACTTTGGCGACTAACTCAAAAGCAGTCCAGTGTGAACTGTCTCAGTTTCCTCAGCAGCCAGGATGTGGCTGGCTGGTCTCTCCAGACTTAAACTCTTTGAAAGTAGCTAGGTATTCTCTTACTATCTCCTCATCTGTCCTGAGCTTCTGTTCCTTCCTGACCATATTTGTTCCATGTTTTCCAGTTTGAAGATAGTTCTGTTTGATAGAGAAGGTGGAAGAAAATAGGTTGAATGCTTCTCCCTTATCATTTTAAGATATTGCCTGCTTCAAACAAAAAACTCATCCCCTTCGTGATTACTTTTACTTCAGATAGCTCATTTTTCTGTGTTTCCTAAATCCAAGGTAGTTTGGGGAATCACCTTCACTGTAAGTCTGACTTATTCTGTACATTTATATTCTGGTTTTGCTATATTTCCTCTCCTGTCTTGTATCCATGCCTTTTTTGTTTTCATTCCTACCAAAGCTCTCCTATGTGCCTGTTGTCTTTTTGTAACATTCCTCCCTCCCTCTTTATCCCAGCCTTTTTCTGCTTTCTTAAGGTTATTCCTGTATTTAGTTTGAAAATCTCTTGTACCATATTTGGGTTTATTACAGCTGATAAAAGATTGAAGCCTTATGAAAAAAATCAAACAATTAAAGATGCCCTAAATTATTTTGGACTATTCCCCTATGGTAAAACCTAGGGAGTGATTGATACAGCAGGTCATTGCAAACTAAATGTTTTCTAATCTGTGACACACACACATACCCCATTGTGTAACAGTTCTGTTATAGAAATGTGAACTACCTTTGCATAATTTAGCAGGGCTGTATTCATTTCTTTTGGAAAGCTTTAATTCCCATTTTGTTCCTACAGATAAGAAACAAGATGGAGCTATTGAGAATCGCAACAAAGGTAAATTCAAGAAGATAAAAGTACAGTTAGCTTGTTTTCATTATATCCAGAAATAGCTCTACTGTGTACTATATCCATCCAAAATTAGGATACATGTGGCAGGGAACATCAACAATGTTTATTAACTTGGATTAACCTCTCTTCCTGCTAGTGCCTTAGTCATGTTGTCTTTATGATGCTAAGAAGATTTTAATTATGATTTGTGGTAGTAAGCTTATGTAGGTAACTTTCTACATAAGCATTTCAAATATTTTAACATACCTGAAATCTTCTTTCTTTTATAGCTGGTGGCATATGTGCATAAGAAACAATGTATAATGTGAATATTAATATATGCGTATTTCTCCATATGTGTGGTCATAATGTTCTGTTAATCTGAGAGGCATTTATAGACTTTGGATGTTACCTAAAAACATTAATACAGGAAAATAAATTATTTAGTATTCCTTTAGTTCTTAGCCTAAGGACCCTGTGATCATTTTCATCCCCATCTCATAGTATGACATTCTCAAATCTGATATAGTTTCATACCCTAATGTCACTGTTGTGTTATTCTTTGTATGTGAGCACATAAACACAGACATAACTGAATGTTTTTACCTCTTCTGTTTTCTAAGAATCTGATTTTTTTAAATAAATTGCTTCAAAGTATTAATAGTAATAGGTGCCTTTAAGATGCAGTGAAATTATGTTGCTTGCAAATGTAGCTAAAGCCCAGGATGGTGCAGCCATGGAAATGCAGCCTTTAAAAAGTGAAGAAGGTGGAGATGGTGATGAAAAAGACAAAAAGAAAGCAAATTTGCCAAAAAAGGAAAAATCTGTTTTACAAGGGAAACTTACAAAACTGGCTGTCCAGATTGGGAAAGCAGGTAAGATATATAGAAGAAAATGGTGTTTGTTTTAAAATGCGCACTTTCTGCTCAGAAAGTATCGGTTGATGCAGATAAGGCTGAAAATTGTTGCTTTGTGAGTGTAAGGGAAATTAAAAATAGTTTTTTATTTTTAGCCACAATGTACCAGGCCCTTTGAGTTACTATAGATACTCAGAATAGCATTGCAGCTTAGGCTGTTATCGTTGTTTTACATAAAGGGAATTGTCCTTCATCATTTAGCTAGTAAGTGATCAGGTTAGAATCTATGTCTAAATTTGCCCAGTTTATAAGCCATACACTCATCTCTAAATTTCTCCAAATTTTGGGGGGTAGTATGGTAGTAGAGAGAGAGCTTGCTATGAAGTTGTTCAACAGATTATCTAACTATAAAAAGAAATTTTATCACACACTTTGTTTATACTTTTATGGGCTACCTATGAAAAATTTGTGTTTCTTTAAACATTATAATTTAGCCAAGCCCAATGGAATTTTTGTAGTGAGGCAGAAGATACTGAGTTTCTTCACTAGAGAACATCATTAATAGAACCCCTCTTTAAGAAAAAAAGCAGAGCTTTTAAAAGATAGAGCATGCCCCAGCATTATCACCTTTTTAAAGAATACTATATGGATAAATCCTCATACTCATTATTAAAATAACACTTAAATTGCATCACACTATTGCTTCCAGGAGAATGTTGGGTAAAGTTTTTCTTTTTTTTTTTTAATTTATTTTTTAGGTGTAGATGGACACAACACAATGCCTTTATTTTATTTTTTTTTATGTGGTGCTGAGGATCGAACCCGGATCCCACCCGTGCTAGGCGAGCACTCTACTGCTGAACCACAATCCCAGCCCAAGTTTTTTCTTCTATCCTCAATAAGCTTATTATCTAGTAAAAAATATTTGTTTTTATAATATGTAGCTAAATCATAATACTGACTCCTTTAGTGTTTTTCCAAGTCAGTGAAGCAGCAAGAATAACAAAAAATAATTTGAGAAATAATAATTCAGATTGTGTGTGTGTATGTGTGTATACACATATACATGCATGTTTGTTTCAACCATAGTGTTGCATGTTTATTTCCAAGTTTCCCAGTTGATCAGATTCTTACTGGCTTCTGTTTCAGTGTTAGACAAATTGCCTCTTGAATTTGTAAAGCTCCAGCTTATGCTAAGCATCTAGTATTTTCTTTTCATTAACTATTATTTTGTATCAGCCTTAGTAGAAGGCAAAGTATACAGTTAAATCTAAGAATTGTAAATACATTTTTCCCAGTCCTCCTAGAGTCAGGGCTATACTGGAAGCAGAAATTAATCTGACAGTGTTAAGTGATGAGTTAGGTGCAAAAAGGAGGTAACAGTTTTTCAGAAATGAAAATAAATATTATTGAGTCAGTTATTTCTTTACAGTAGCTAATATATAACTGGCAGTGGTAGGGTCTGGAATATTTAAATAATTGCATATTTCTCTCTTTTTTTGTATCCTGAAAGGTTTGTTGATGTCTGCCATCACAGTTATCATTCTAGTATTATATTTTGTAATTGATACCTTCTGGGTTCAGAAGAAACCTTGGCTTGCTGAATGCACACCGATTTACATACAATATTTTGTGAAGTTCTTCATTATTGGGGTTACAGTTTTAGTGGTTGCAGTGCCAGAAGGTCTTCCACTTGCAGTCACTATCTCACTGGCTTATTCAGTCAAGGTTAGTACAAAATAGTTAGTTGATGTATTATGTTTAAAACTTCAGCTGGTTTGGAAAATGCACATCCAGTTTCTCTTTTCTGGTTCTGAAAATGGAGGATCTCTGTAAGTGTACATTGTTTTCTTTAGAAATGCAGTCACTGATTGTGCCTGCCCTTAGCTGAATATCTCTTTTCATAGAGACCTTATACATGTGGAAGGCATCCTTGATACAGTATTAAGCACAACTCTGCTAGGCCAAGTTCTAACCTAAATTTCATTATGTTATAGTTTATGGTCATGTCACATCACCTCCTCTTTCCTACCTGTAAAATTAAGGTAAGGATGTTTGTTGTCCTCCTGTGGCACAAAAGCAAAGAGGGTTCAGTAAGGTTCAACTTTTTGAGGCCTTCTTTCTTTCACTCATCCATTCCCATAATTGCCCCACAATCTGGTCTTCATATTTGTAGGCAGATTGATGTTTCCAAAAAATAATTCAGATTTTATCATTTCCTTATGTAAAACCATAGGACTCTTTACTGTGGTCAGTATGGCCCTTGCTGACTTAGTGCTCATATGTTCAGCTCTCCCTCCGGCCCAGCCTTTCTGCTGGCTTTCAAACAGTCCAACTGTGATCTGGTTTTACAGGTTTAAAAAAAAAAGAAAAAAGAATGCTGCTCTCATAAATTTTGAAATGTTAATTAGCAGTTCTCCTTAAATAACATTGTTAACAGTGAGAAATATAAAGTAATTAGTCATAGTTTCTTCTCTAGCACTCTTGTCTTCAACTATTCCAAAGGGTTTTACAGTAGATAGGCCGGACAAGATAAGAATGTTTTTTGCTTATTGTTTTGAGTTTATTTTCAAAGTGATGGTAAAGTACAACATAATCATTTATTTGTCCTTTTAAAAATATTTTTAAATAATTAGAAATAATTGAAGTAAATACAAGTTTTAGGCACATTGATTAGTCATTGTCAATACTATAATTAGTTCATTTTGAGTAGTCATTAATGATATTGATTTTTCAATTGATGAGAAAGATGTAAGTAGATTGATTTGTATCGTTGAATAGAAAATGAATGAGAGCATTTTAAACATTTTAAGTGATGTTTTTAAGCCTTTGTTAAATGTTTAGCCCTGATGTTACCAATTACTGTTCTTTTTACATTATAATCTTCATGGATCTTCTTTTAGTGTTTTGCAAAATTAAACACTAATTGGAAAGAACACATTTCTCTTCCCCATATTTATTTCTTCACCAAACTGATTTTCTGTAGCATCTTGCATGTTGATAGTCACAAGGGGGGGAAAAACAACTTTGTAAAAGAACTCTGTTTAGTTTTTAACCCATTCTACATGTGTTGAAAGCTAATCATAAAGTATATTTAAATGCTCTTTGAGGGGCTGGGGTTATGGCTCAGCGGTAGAGTACTCACCTAGCATGTGCAAGGCCCTGGGTTCGAACCTCAGCACCACATAAAAATAAAGGTATTGTGTCTAACTACAACTAAAAATAAAAAATATTTTAAAAAATAAATAAATAAATAAATGCTCTTTGAAACAGTCCTGAAAACTTTTGGCTTCTTGGTTTCTTTTCTAGTTGTAAATGAGAGAAAGTGATGAGACACATTTTGATCCTTAGTATAAAAATATCAAATCTTCCAGCATATGGAATAGATAAAAATGATCCAGTTGTGGTTTTGATATATTAACTTAGTCTATCATGTTGGAGAAAAAAAGAAAGAAGCAACTGCATACTCATAAGCTCTTTGTTTATCTTAAAGAATTAACTTTTTCCTTGGTGATTGATTGATACAGCAGTCTTTTATTTTAAACTTTAAATAAGGAGACTTCATCCATATTATCTTAGAGTACTCTGAAAACCACTGTACCTGTACATATTGTCATTGCTTTTATAATGTGAAGATATTTTCCTGAGCTTGTTGGAGGTGCATAGTCACTGTGAGTTGCATATAGGTATGGGTATCCATATTCATTTATTAGATTATATTATGCACAGAAAAGTGAAACCATGAGAATCTAGTAGTTTATTTGAATAGGTCAAATGAACTAATATTCTTCCAGTATTAAATTGGTACTCTTTACAATGTGTTTATGTAAGGCAGAGAGTTTTAATGCTGATTTTGTCATTTTTCTATAATGATATGATAGGTTTTGTATGTAGTTTAACTCTTGTTTTTTTTTTTTTTTTTTTTGTCACTGTAGAAAATGATGAAAGATAATAACTTAGTAAGGCATCTGGATGCGTGTGAAACCATGGGAAATGCTACAGCCATTTGTTCAGATAAAACAGGAACATTGACAATGAACAGAATGACAGTTGTTCAAGCTTATATAAATGAAAAACATTATAAAAAGGTTCCTGAACCAGAAGCTATTCCACCAAATATTTTGTCCTATCTTGTAACAGGAATTTCAGTCAATTGTGCTTATACATCAAAAATATTGGTAAGGTTTCTTTAATAATTAATATATATATATATATGAACATTAATTCTTAAATCTGTAATGATTAGACTGCATGTAATCTTTCAGATCTATAATTTGAACTGCATAGTGTTAGATTTTTAAAAGACATCCTTATAATAATATATGTTTCTTTTGATATAGTTTGTAATATAAGTAAGATTTGTTAATCAACATACACATTCTATTTACTTATGTGTTTTTTCTTTTTCTTTCATTCTTTCTTTTTTTTCTTGGTACCAGGGAGTATTTAGAAATCTCAAGTCTTAGAATCAGAACACCAGAACACGTTCCTAATTTTAAATTCTTATTAAGCTCATTTGAGGAAAGACCAGATTGTAGAAAGTCAGCTGTCAGTTTTCAGAGATAATTTTGAAGACAAATTTCAATTGAAAATGACATGTTTTTTATAAATGCCTGCAATATGCCCTGTTTCTCAGTAGTCCCTATCTTTAAAGTTGTCTGTAGACTTACAGCCAATAAAGTTATAGGCTTGTGCCACCTTGGAATAAAATATTTTCAACTTTGCAGATTCCAAACATTTATTACAGAAAGCATAAAGTTTATGTTCAACTTCATATATACTAATGATTTGTATATATAAACCGTAAACAAAATAATATTACAAATGGTTTATATTGTGAAAAGTGACTTGAATTGGATGAGTGGACTGGAAAGTTATGGGATCTTGGTTCTGAATCCCTTTTTGTCTTTTACTAGCTGAAAGTCTGAGCTTTTGCTTTAATTATTTAAAAAAAGATAATCACATCTGCCTTTAATATCGTTGTGGTGATTATATAAGGAAATGTTTGTGAGGGTATTATGGGGGAAAAAATAAACTTCTTAATGCACTTAAGGCAATAGTACCTTATTTTAAGATGTAAAAATCGGTAATGTAGATTTTACTTTGAATTATTAAGTAAAAGTCAATTAAAACAGGAAGAGAAAAAGGAGTTATAATTAATTCCCATTGTGCATCAAGAAACAACTATAAACTTTACATATTTATTTTGTTTAATTCTTGGGTCATGAGTGCTCCTGTTTTACAGATGCTGAAGCCAAGGACCAGAAATCGCGTAACTTGCCAGAAGTTTACTTAGCTAGTGCCTAGCAATTGGAACTCATGTCATTCTGTCTTACTTCAAGCTCCTTTCTACCTTGCCATTCTATGTTGTTTTAAATATTGATATTAACAGACATTTCAATATAATTTTGCTTTAGAATGTCACATTCTATTTTACACTATAAATTTAAGTTTTCATAGGGAAATACAATGACACTAGCTTCTAATCCTTTTTCTCTTAAAGCCACCAGAGAAAGAGGGTGGATTACCTCGTCATGTTGGTAATAAAACTGAATGTGCCTTGTTGGGACTTCTCTTGGATTTAAAACGGGATTATCAGGATGTTCGAAATGAAATACCAGAAGAAGCACTGTACAAAGTCTATACCTTCAATTCTGTCAGGAAGTCCATGAGTACTGTCCTGAAAAATTCAGATGGGAGTTTTCGAATATTCAGCAAGGGTGCATCTGAGATAATTCTGAAAAAGTAAGTAAAATGCTTAGCTGAATAAGCTTCTGCCTATCCATGCTTTATAGAAAACCTTCTCTGTTGTTTTTCTTATGGTTTTCTTTTTGTGAGTATCAGGCACTTGATGGAATCTTAGAGCCCTTTAGAGTACTTTATGTTATCTAGATACTTACACTATGGTGTTCTGCCATTTTCACACTCTAGTTTCTCTTATTTCTTACTATTTTGCTGTAGGGAAATTAAGCCTATTGTGTTCAGTCTTGTAAATTTAATGAAGGAAACTTCAATGTTTGGTCTTAGGCATGTTGATTCTATTGTTTTATAAGATCATGAAAATTTCCCTTTTATATCACAGTGACCTTTATCTTTTATTGTTGGAATGTCATATTTAAATATCTCATTCATTTTGTGTAGTAATCTTGTTTCTTACTGTTCTTTTACAGACCAGAAGCTTTCATTTTGACATTTCATATTTTCTTATAATTTCCCTAATGTTTATCTATTACTACAGGTGTTGAAATTAATTTTGGCTTCTTATATTCCAATAGAGACTGTTTAAAAAAAATTTTTTTTTTGAAAATTGCAATTCATTTGAATTCACAGCATTTAAAATATTGCTACTTCTAATTTGCTTGTATGTGGGTTATAATCTACTGTTATCTTAGTAAACACTTGACAGATTGTAGTCTCAAGGGTCTGAAAAAAGTATATAAATAAATAACTGAAAGAACGATATATGATAAATGAATGAAAATTTCAGGATGAGAGATGTGGCATTTAAGATAGGTTTTGGTGTGAAGTAACAACATCTAGGTAAAGGAAGCCACAGCAGAGGAAAGACAATGAGAATATGCCAATGATATTAAGGGAATGCCTAGCCGTGTAGCTCAGCAGAAGAGTGAGATGGTCTTTTGGCACACTGAGCACACGAAGCTTTGTTCCCTCCATGGTATGCTTGGTTATTCAATTTCAGTGTGAAGGGTTAGAAATCTCATTCCTAGCTTGCTTAGTAGTAGATAAATGGTAAAGGAGGGATTTTTAAATCAGAACTAACCAGATTTTGATCCTTCCTTTACAACTAATTAGCTTTGGAATCTAGGTCAGATTTTCCTCTTACCTTCCACTTTCCTATATTGGAAAAAGGGAATGATGACCACCAACTCTGTGACAGTGAAGTAAAATAATACAAATAAAATGTCTGTTGGGGAGCATAATGTATAGTGAGTGTACACTATAAAAGTTCCCACAGCAATGTTTACATTTTATTAGAGACTTATATGTTAGGCTGAGCAGTTAAAACTTAATTAGGCCAGATAGTGCAACTGAAGTTTTTTCTCATCAGATAGTAGAATCATCAAATCTGTGATTGAAAATAATTCTTCCATCAAAGGATAAGGTGGGCTGGGGGTAAAGAATGGACTGGAGACAGATACCAGTGAAGGGCTATTGGTATTGTAATAGCTCTAGCTGGAAGAGGCAAAAAGAGCATAGTAGCAAGTGGAATAGAAAGGAGCAGACATTTAGACTATTCAGAAGAAAGATATATAGGACTTAAAAGCTGGTATTACCTAGAGGATGAGGAAGTAAGTGAAATTTAGACTTATCTCAGAGTAGTTTGGGTAATGTTGATCCTATTACATGGGCAGTGAGGTGGTGACTTCCAGCCCTCCGTGCATTAAGCTTAAAGTATTGACATAACATCTGGGTGTGATAGAAAGTTTCAGAAAATATGGATTTGGGAAGCACCTCCATAGAAGCAGGATGAAGTGGCACCACTAAGGGAGACAGGTATAAAGAGGTGTTCTGATCTTACTATCCAATTAAAAAAAAAAAAAAAAGATTGTACTTAATTTCACTGAAAATGAAACTGTTTTGGCATTCTCATTCATTTTCTCTCTCTCGCTTGCTCGCTCTCTCTGTCTGTCTCTGTCTTTCTATTCCCTTCCCCCCTCCTCAGTGGAATGCTTATTTGCTTATTTTAACAGTAGGACTTTGTTTTCTTTTATGGTTAAAACAATATAGGTGAAGAAACAGCCTCTCAGGTAAGGGGTTGAATGAACTTGGCCTTTTACCTTAAAAGAAGAAATTATTTTATTTTTGTGTTAAATAAAAGTAATGTCTAATTTTGTACCAAAATGGCCAAGTGTATAGTTTATTCTATTTTGCAAGTCAGAATTTGTGAAAACTTAACCAGAATAGTTTCTAAAAGAGCTTTAAAGAATGTAGTAACTGATAAAGTAGAGAACCATGCAGGTTTAGAACTGTTTTAAAAAGGGAAAAGTAAATATGACTTGAGTCTATAAAATGCAACATTTATAATTCCCTAAATTCCAGATATCAGATCCCATGATTTCTCGCCCTTCCAGTTCACTTAAATGGCATTAACCATTATTTTTGTTAATTATTGATATTTGGATTCAACATTTCCTTTTAGGTGTTTCAAAATCTTGAGTGCTAATGGTGAGGCAAAAGTATTCAGACCAAGGGATCGTGATGATATTGTAAAAACTGTGATTGAACCGATGGCATCAGAAGGCTTGAGAACCATATGTCTTGCATTCAGAGATTTTCCAGCAGGAGAACCAGAACCAGAGTGGGATAATGAAAATGATATTGTCACCGGCCTTACATGCATTGCTGTTGTGGGCATTGAAGATCCTGTGAGACCTGAGGTGGTGAAACATTCTGTGCTCTGCATGTGCAGAATATTTTTAACTATAGAGACTCAAGGCACTACGTGTAACCAGCTTTCTAGTAAAATTTGATGTTTATGATTTTATTTTTTCTATGTGAACCCAAGATGAGTGAAATAATAGTGCTTATGATGATATGATATCCTTTTTATGGTGTATAATTAGACAGCTTCTTTCTGGGATCCTGTGTATTTATAGCACCATAACCTAGCGCAGTGCTTTGAACTGAGTAGGTTTTTCAATTGGCACTTGTCTTAAATTAATGATTGATGTCCTTAAGTGATTTGTTCTCACAATCTCTGGACCACCATTGTCCAGTAGAATTTTCTATGATGATAGAAATATTTTATCTGTATGTTGCTCAAGGTAGTAGCTACTGGCTACCTGTGATGATTGAGTTCTTGAAGTATGGCTAGCACAACTGAAAAAACTGAATTTTTTATTGAAATTTAAACATCTGGATAGTGGCTTCTGTATTAGATGGCATGCAGCTCTAGATTTTGCTTTTTTCCTTTAAGTCACTTAAAAGTTTATAGAACATAAACTAGGTTTATAAACCTAGGCATTAGCAACGTTAGAAGTTTAGAAATGTGATCCCTAGCCTCAAAGAAGTCACTGTCTTGAATGAGGGTGGACAGACATGTTCTGACTGAGGCTGTTTGTACATGGCTGGGTACATACAGAGCCTGTTGTATGAGCAGAGAATGTGACCTCTCAACCTAGTCTATTGAGGTCTCCCTGTGTGCCTAGTACTATAGCAAGTGTTTTACATGTATTATTTCATTTAGTATTCACCTCTATGTGGTGTATTATTACTCTCATTGACAGATAAAACAGTTGGGATTTATAGAGCTCTAAATCATTGACATGGTATTTTCAAATCCCAACTTTGTCTAAAATATGTGCTTAAAAGAACACTAAACTCTGTTACCCACTGGAGGGGTTAGGTAAGATTTCCTAGAGATTAATTACCTGATTTGAGTCTTAAAGGATCAGGAGACATTAGCTAAACCAAGAGAGAGCAGTAAGTACATTCAAATAAATAAGCAACACAAGTAAAAGCACTAGTGCAAAAACTGCTTTTGTCCAGTAACTGCCAACTAATTGATTCAAATTGTGGCAGGCACTGTTTTAGGTACTGTAAGTACTTCAGTGAACAAAGTAGTCATGAAATTTATATTCTGGAGAAAGAAGACAACCAAATAGGTAGAATGATTATATATGGACTGTATGCCAAGGGAGAGATTTAGGATGAAAAAAAAAAAAAAGACAAAACAAAACTAAGAAATACCACTAAATACCTGCTTTTGTAGGCCTTACATTCTGGGTGCCAAGCGGTGGGGAGGGCTGAGGGTAAGGGTGGAAATGTGATGTAAAATAAGATGATCACAAGTGTATAAAGGGCTATAAAGGATGCACACTGGGTGATGAAATAAGGTAACTGAGAGAGACTGCATTGAGAATTGGAGTTGAGATCTGATGGCTCACAATTAACCAAGGAAATAAATAACTACAAGAGGAACATTCCAGACAAGCAGCAGAAAATGCAGGGACCTGGAGGTGAGAAAAAGTATTGAGGGATTTTTAAAAAATAGAAAGGAGTGTGGCTGGCAGAGTAAAAAATGGGGAGATGAGATATCTTCAGCATTACTAGGATGTAAGTTCTGCGAATTTCATTCTAAAATTCAAGTTCAAGTTGGGAAGTAACATGACATATATTGTTAAAATACTGTATAAGAAAGAGATTATTGCACCTCTTTGAATTGTATTGTTGAATACTGTATAAGAAAGAGATTAAAGAGAAGTAGAAGCAGAGGAAAGCCATTAAGATTATTGCAGTGATCCCAGACAATAAATGTTCATGACTTAGACTACAGTTGTGACAGAAAAGATGAAAACAGAGGGATGATTTCAAAGTAAATGGAGGTGGTCCAGTAGGAATGAATATACTGCATTTGTGTATGATGTTTTCAATATCATTGAAGTATATGAAATATCCAAATGTGTGTCAGGCAGGCATTTGGATGTCGGAGTCACAAAGAGGTCTAGGGTGGAATAATTATTTATAAGCTAAAAGGAATCTCCTGGGGAAAATGTGTAGCCAGAAGAGAGGCCTTAATGCCAAGGTATCAACACAACTAGAAGTCTTGATAGGGAAGAGGAGATAGGCTCTCTCTTGCAGTATTTGGTGGGTGGTAGAGGGTGTTACCAGTGTTATAAGAGAATCAGAAGACACAGCCTTTTGAGAGATCAGGATAAATTCAGCTTTAGGTTTTAGAGTTTCATTCAGCTGTGTAATGTTTGGCAACTTTTGATCTCAGGAAAAACATATATAGTTTTATACATGGGCTTGTATTTAAATCTTAACCTAATATATATATATATATAAAATCAGGATGTCTATAACTTTGGGAAAACCTGTTATGCTCTTAGCATTTGAATTGATGGAGAATTTATTTATTTATTTATTTTAATTTTTTTTTTTTTAGTTGTAGTTGGGCACAATACCTTTATTTTATTTATTTTTATGTGGTGCTGAGGATCAAACCCAGGGCCTCACACTTGCTAGGCGAGCACTCGCTGAGCCACAACCCCAGCCCTATTGTTTTATTTTTTGAACATGTAAGGAACACTTTTTTTTTCTTTCACTATCACAAAATAAGATGAGTACTTTTATATTAAAATATGACTAGTATGAAACAGCTTTATTTGAGTGGTTATTCTAGGCTGTGCAGAGTGAGATACCTAATTAAAGATCCTCTTGGTGTAGAGGATCTTTAATTAGGTATCTAGAACAAATCCAGTGTTCTTGCATATGCATAGGTACTTGAATAAGATACTTAGCCTTCCTTCAGTTCCTTATCTGTAAAAGTGGAGGTAGTGTCTGAATTTTTAAATTGGAAGTATTTGGTGATTAGTAGTCAGTAAATACTAGTTTGCTTTTATTTCTTTAAACAGCTTTATTGAGATAAAATTCATATATTATACACTTTACCCCTTAAATTGTATGGCCTAATGGTTCTTAGTATGCTCAGAGTTCTGTAGCCATCACTACAATCAGTTGTAGACATTTTCATTATCCAAAAATTACACTCCCTAATTGTCAGTAGCCATTCCCCATTTTTCCCCAACCTCAAGGAAACACTTTTGTATTTTCTGGCTATGTAATTACCAATCTGGATACTTCGAACATGTTCATCTTATCTCACTATAATTATATTTTTAACCAAGATCTCCCTTTTGCCTCTCTGCCGTACCTTCCCAAGCCCCTGGCAACCACTATTGTACTCTCTACCCTTCTTAAATACTATTTGCCCAAGACTAGTGTGTCCCTCTTAATCATTGTTCCCTAGATACTTCCTAATCGGTGACTACTTAGATATGCAAATTTAAGATACATCTTACCTCCAATGAGATGTCAGGAGATCTTTTATATGCATTTATACAGCTAATGTGTTTTTTGGTTTGTTTTTTACAGTACTGGGGATTGAACTTGGAGGTGCTCTTCTACTGAACCATAGTCCCAGTCCTTATAGTTTTTATTTTGAGACAGGGTCTTGCTAAGTTGCCCACAAACTCTTTCTTTAGCCTCTCACATAGCTAGGATTAAAGGTTGCACCATTGCTTCTGGCTTGGTAACCTAATGTTTTTAAAATCAAATACTGATTTTAAAAGAATTTGAGCAGCCTCTTTCCTTTAATTCATTACTCCATCACTAGGACCTAGCACAGTGCCTGGCATACAGTAAATATTAGTTTGTATGAATATATGTGATTTCCCTTCAGTGATTTGAATGATTGAGAATTGAGACAGGGTGGAAGGAATTGGGGGTGGGGGGGGGCAGGGGGAGAGGTACCGGAGATTGAGTTCAGGAACACTTGACCATTGAGTCACATCCCCAGCCCTATTTTGTATTTTATTTAGAGACAGGGTGTCACTGAGTTGCATAGCGCCTTACCATTGCTGAAGCTGGCTTTGAGCTTGTGATCCTAATATGTCAGCCTGAGGAACTGCTAGGATTATAATCTTTAAGCCTATACATATTTAAGTTTCTAGTAATTAAATTGCATATGTTTTTTAAGACATTGTTCCTGTGGAACCCTGTCTAGAATTGTGCCCCCTTACCTTCCACCCACACCTTGAAGAATGCCCCAGTGATGACTGTTTCTCCAATAATATGTAATTTAGTAGCTGCATGAATACTAAGCTTTGGTTATATGCCAGACACTTCTTTGTTAAATAAATGAATTAATTGTGATGCAAAGATGTGGTAAGGGTTCTCCTTCAAGAAGCTCATTGACTTGCAGAGGACTCGACAAATGAGTATCTGTAATATGATGTAATGACTTATAACAAGTCTGTAATAAGAAGACACACTTTTGTCTAGGTATGTAGACCAAGGAAGCTCCCAGAGAAGTTACATTTAAACTGGATTTAGAATAGAAATCACAAATAGGGAGTCTGCAGACCTAATTTAGTATTCTGTCAAGTTATCTTTGGATATCTGTATGTGTATAAAAATCATTAAGTATTGAGAGATTATATACAAAATTAGAATGTGTCTCCTTTCTCTTGAAATCTTAAGTTCTGTTAATGTTGAGCTCTCATTTCACCATGATAAAAATAGACTAGAATTGAGTAGCTCTTTCATTAACTTTTTTCTTGGGTTTGCCATTTTCAACATGTTTTCCTTATTGATGTTACCAGCATGGCCCTGTAGCCATTTGAATTTTTGCAATCTCAAGCCCTGGTAGGATCAGTATGGATTTTCCAATTAGAGCCAGAAAGGATATGGTTTTTTGTTTGTTTGTTTGTTTTTAGTTTGTTGGATTGGGGGGGGGGGGTTGTTTGTTTTCTATACCAGGGATTCAAGGCACTTAACCACTGAGCCACATCCTCAGCCCTTTTTATTTTGATACCAGTCTCACTGAGTTGCTTAGGGCCTCACTGAGTTGCTTAGGGCTTCGATAAGTTCTGAAGCTGGCCTTGACCCTCCTGCCTCAGCTGGGATTACAGGTGTGTTCCACCATGCCCAGCCAGAAAGGATTTTCTAGGCAAAAGGAATGTAGTTGCACGGGCACAGAAATAATTATATAAACTGTTCATCCAACAACTTGTGTATAATAGAGAAAATTTTAGATGAATCTAGAAAAATATTCTGAGGCTTAACTGTGATACTCAGTTGTACTAAGAATTTTGTGGTATATGTGTAACAGCTGAGGAATCATGTATTTTTAAGGAAGCATATTGGTGTGTTAAAAAAAGAATAAAGTATATATGGAACAGCATAAAGGCAGTGATACCAATTTAAAAGCCATTGCAGTAACTCAGGCAGTAAGCACTGGGAACATGATACAAGGGAGGTTTGGGGAAGAATCCATAGGAGTTATATTGATCCTTAAGGGATGCATGGAAGAAGGAAAATGGAAGAGGAGGTACAGATGACTTAGGCTTCTGTAGGTAAGTTTAGAAAAGATGGTGTCTTTTTACACACTCAAATTCTGATACCCACTTTTCAGGTGGCACCGTGATTCCCTCTCAAAGTGAGATGACGGAAGGATGTAGATTTGAAATTCTTTAGCACATAAATTATATGGGAGTAGGTGACATATTTCCTTAACAAATATGAATTGTGTGAATTGGGAAGGGAAAAACAAGACACTGTAAAGAACACCAACTCAGGTGTGATGTGGGCAGTGAAACCAGAAAGGTAGAAAGCCAACCAGAAAGGAATAGCTTTTTGGTTGTCAGGGGGAAAAGGTGCTTTTAAAAGCTTTTGGTAGATAAGTAGTGCGAACAAGTTAGGAATGATGGCAATTGAAAATGAAGCCTGAACTAAGATTGCAGTTGTAGAATAGGAAAGAAGAGATTATTGGGAATAATTCAAGAAATACTAAATATCTCGAGATGAAATTAAAATTGTCATTAGTTGTGGGATTGTACACTACCTACTATATATTTGTTTAGTGTTCCCCCCACTTTGGAAATACTAATTTTCTATTGTAATGTGATTTTTTTTCCTATATAAACTAGGTACCAGATGCAATTAAAAAATGTCAGAGGGCTGGAATTACTGTACGGATGGTCACTGGTGATAATATTAATACTGCTCGGGCTATTGCTACCAAATGTGGTATTTTACATCCTGGGGAAGATTTCCTATGCCTGGAAGGTAAAGATTTTAACCGAAGAATACGAAATGAAAAGGGAGAGGTAAGGATTTTTTTTTTTAAGTTTTTTAGTTGATTAACTTGTATATTAAGAATTTCATTCAACAAATACATATTGACTATGAAGTATATATTAGGCACTGTACATGAATAAATGCTGTCCACATCTTAAGAAGCAAAAAACTAGCATTCTAGATGAAAGGGGTGATAAAGAAATTGGTCCTAGAGGGAATGAGCATATGTTGCTATTATGCTTTATCAAAGTAGTTGCTTTGAGTCAAGACCAGTTTCCGAAGTACAATGTATGCAAGGGAGTAAAGGGAGATGGGTTTGGAAAGGCTGATGTGGATATATTTTAGGGGACTCCAAACTCAGAAGTTTTCACATTAAGGAAGTTCCAGTTTTATAGACAGTGAGCAAATTTTTAAAATTTTGATCTTATAATGTATATAGTAAGAATTCTCAAACTTGAGCTTGTATCAATTGAAGTCACTACCGAGTATCTGATGAGATAAACCTGGGCCATGCCCAAGAATTTGCATTTCTAAGAAGTTCCCAGGAGTTTCTGATGCAATTGCTCTGTACTTTTGAGAACACTGATAAATAATGGTAGATAGCTAATTTAGAATTATGGAACTAGGTTTGGACACATTTTAACTTTGATAAAATTTTATAGATTGAGCAAGAGCGAATAGACAAGATTTGGCCAAAGCTTCGAGTACTTGCAAGATCATCTCCTACTGACAAACATACTCTTGTTAAAGGTAAGTAGATTTTACAATTATTTCACAATTTCTTAATACAGAAATATGTTTTGCTTCCAAAAATAGTAATAGATAGGGAATATTAGATTGAGTCTCATATTTTCCAATAAAATTTAAATACATTTCCTTTTGATATCTTATGTGAATTGTGTTTATCTTCTGATTAAAACAGGATATTGCTCCTAATGTAACCTTAGTTTCTTGAGTTGATCCTTGTTCAACATCCAAGCAGTTTCCATTTCTGTGTTTGTTTAATTATGTATTTTTAACCTTGAGACTATAAAACTGACCAGTCAGGATAGTCAGGATATTCTGCCAAATCACCTTATTAATTAAAGAAAATGTTTTTACAGCACAAATATTTACTTTTATTTAAGGTATAATCGACAGCACTGTCTCAGAACAACGCCAAGTTGTAGCTGTAACTGGTGATGGTACAAATGATGGCCCAGCATTAAAGAAAGCAGATGTTGGATTTGCAATGGTAGGAATTAACTTATTCAAGTATTCAGATGTAATTTGCTAGCTGTGTTGTTTGCTTGTTTGTTGACTGTATTACTGTTGATTCTAAATGCTGTCCCTCAAGATTAGTTTGAGGGATAATCGATAAACCTAAATTGATTTGTAAGTCTAAGTAGTTTATACACTAGCTTTATTTGATGCCATGAAATCTGGTTAGATGATGATTTCTTTGGACAACTGAAATAATGTCATAAATTTACCTTGTACTCTGTAAGTTGTCATCTCTCATGTCATCTGAACCTTATATAGCAACCTTCTTAATCAGAACACAAGCTTAAAACAGATGTACATTTACATTAAAAATATACTTAAGGTTCTTTTAAAGAATAATAGAATGTTGTCTTTTTTACATACACATAAAATCTTTTTTGATTAAAAAAATTCTTGTTTCCCCCCATATCCTCAATTTAATTATTTTCTCTTTAGTTTTGGAAAATACTGATTGATAATCACAATTCTCAAATCCAAAACTATAAGAAAACTGAATTTTTTTTGCCCTAATTGGCTGCCTGGTCATTTTTCACATTTCATTTAAAAATTTTGTGTTTGACTTGTAAAATCTATTCTGAATTGATGTAGGGCTATTATTTGTCCCGTTAGCATGAATATATATAGCCATTGTAGAAATTTTAATGTGTTAATGTTGCTTAACTCTTTGGGAAATTTTGTGATATGAGATATGTGCCTTATTATCTAGCATATGGGACACTTTGAATTCTGAAACAAAATCTGGCCCTAAAGTTTTAGATGAGAGAATGTTTGTGTGCACCACTATGTTTACATGATTTGTCCCTCTGATATTTTTTTTGCTAAAATAGAGATTTAGAAGGAGACTTACCACCCTGGCAGCCTTTCAACAGGTGTTAGAGAGATGGTAAAAGGAAATTATATTGGTAAATTTTCTTCAACCGAAAAAGATTGCATCCAGAGATCCTTACCCTGCCATGTCCCAAATTCATAGGCAGCTGCTTTGGAATGATCTTTTGAAGACTTGTGAAGAGTCACTGAAGAAGAAATAATTAGGTGCTCTGTCTTGTACTCCAGGCAAACAGGATCACTAACTACAGCAGTTGGGCATTGAGCCGTTGAGTAGTATTCTTTTTGCTGCTTTTATCTGACAGTGACCAGAAAACTACATTATGTAGGATGCATTTTAACGAAAAAAGAAAGAAAAAAAGCTTTCTTTCCAAAACTTGAGTATGTGACAGATAGCCTGGGTTTTAATAAATGTGGATAAATATAGTAATGCAAACAAAAGTATAGCACAATGACTGGTCTGTTTCTGTTTTTAAGCTCTGAAGGTTTTAGATTCAAATTTACCACTTTTTTTTTAATGATAATTCATCAAAAGTCTAAATTTATCTCCAAAATAAAGAGGAAAGAGTAAGTGCTTAGCAGCTCAGACTTGAAACCACTCTTTCCTACTTAGAGACATCCCTATTTTACCTCTTGACATGTTTAATCTGGCATTGCAGAGGGAATGGCAAATTGCCTATCACATGGATTTGGGAAAGGCCTCTGAGGATCAAACTGCCTTTTTAAAATTTTACTAACACTAATACAGAAAAGTGCCTAAATCATAAGAATACAACTGAACACAAGTGAACATACCTGTTCTATATAGGCAAGAAATAGAATGGTACCTATATCCCAGACACTCCAGTCAACTCTATCTCTCTGCAGAGATAACCAGTGTCCTTAAGATCATTATTTTTGCCTGTTTTTGAATGTTGTACAGAATGATCGGAGTTCATCATCTTTTATTTAGCACTATGTCTCTAGAATTTATCTACGTATTTGGCTGTAGTTCATCTTTATTAATGTGCAGTATATTAACATATCCCTTTCTGCTGTTGACAACGTTGTTACTATTAGAAGTTGTTGAGTGCTTCTTCAGTAGATACTTAAAGAGATTTTCTATTTTCATCCCTGCCTTTACCCCTACAAGTGCAACCTGGTACTTCCTGAGCCTGATAGAAAGATTTCATACTATCAGAAATAGGACTGCTTTTCTGCTGTCCCTACCATTGGCTTCAGATTCAGCTTTCTTGACTCTGCTGAGTTATTTACCATTTGTTTATCCATTTTCAGTCTGTAAGGTGTTTTTTTTAATATTTTATTAGTTGCTGATGAACCTTTATTTTCTTTATTTATATTTGGTGCTGAGAATCAAACCTAGTGCCTCACACATGCTAGACAGGCACTGTACCACTGAGCCACAATTCCAGCCCTCCAGTCTCTAAGAGTTTTGAATTTTATTTTCCATACTTCCCTCTTTGTTTGATTTCTGCTAAGCCAGACATCTATAATACCTTCTTCTAGCCTGACTCTTAAGTCACTGTTAAGTATAATGGCAAATTTTTATTTATTTTATACTACTCATTTGAGTATATAAGAATTATATTCTAAACAATTAGTCTAATAGATTTTTTTTTTCTTATACAGGGGATTGCTGGAACTGACGTAGCTAAAGAAGCATCTGATATTATTCTCACAGATGACAACTTTACAAGCATTGTTAAGGCAGTTATGTGGGGACGAAATGTCTATGACAGCATCTCAAAATTCCTTCAGTTCCAACTTACTGTTAATGTAGTAGCAGTCATTGTTGCTTTCACAGGAGCTTGTATTACTCAAGTAGGTGATGATTTATTTATTAAAACTTGCTTATTTTAAAGCAAAAAACTTTTTTAAAGTACTTAAGTATTTAAATAAGTTGAAACTTAATATTTAGGTTAATTATCATAAAAAATGTAATCCTATTCTGTTCCTTAAGTTTTTAAATCCTAAAGGCTTCCTGAGAATTTCTGAGTCCCTAAACAGTTGTGAATGTCTATTAGGAAACATATCTTTTCTAGGATTCACCGCTTAAGGCTGTGCAGATGCTGTGGGTAAACCTCATAATGGATACACTTGCTTCCTTGGCTCTGGCAACGGAACCACCCACTGAATCCCTCTTGCTTCGGAAACCTTATGGTAGAAATAAGCCTCTCATCTCACGCACAATGATGAAGAATATTTTGGGTCATGCATTCTATCAACTTGTAGTAGTTTTTACACTCTTATTTGCTGGTAAGGATTCAGTGTCTTAATTAAGCTTCAGTTAATTTTTTCGAATCCATGTTAATAACATTCAACATGTTTTAGTGTTAAAAATTTTTGAGTCTGAGTTCTGTTCCTGACTCCCTATTTATCTTTAATTTCTCATCAGGGAGTGCTTGGTAAATTTTGGGAGGTAGTGTGATGCGGGGTAGGGAGGGACAAAGAATCTTCATCATCATTATCTTGGCTTTGCCACTTATGTGTCTGAACTTGGCATGTCAACATAGTTTTGGGGCTTCAGTGTCCTCATCTATAAAACAGAATAGTTGTCATTCCAGGTCAAATAAAAAGTCTGGCTAGTTTTTATTATTGCATAATTCCTTGACATGTTATGATTTTGTATGGTAATTACAAAAAATTTTTTCATTCTTTCAGGAGAAAAGTTTTTTGATATTGATAGTGGAAGAAATGCTCCTTTGCATGCTCCACCTTCGGAACATTATACTATTGTTTTTAATACCTTTGTGCTGATGCAACTTTTCAATGAAATAAATGCCCGGAAAATTCATGGTGAAAGAAATGTGTTTGAAGGAATCTTTAATAATGCCATCTTCTGCACGATTGTTTTAGGCACTTTTGTGGTACAGGTGGGTAATTAGAAAAGATGGTTTCAAAACTGATTATTACATGGGAGATAGTCAGCAAACAGGTACCTTGTTGTAGAACATAATTTCAGATTTGTGTGTGGGTCTTCTATATATTGCCTTGATGATGCCTGTAGTTTTCGTGTTTATCTAAGATGTACAATAAAATGTGGAAACTTGGTCCCTTGTTCTTAGAAGTCAGAGTCACAACTGACTAGATAAATTATTTTATTTTTTCCAACTCTCAAATGAAAAAGTCCCCAGCATCTTAATATCCTCCTTTTTACATCCCTTATTATATTAAAAAAATTTAAAAATTAAGAACACTGTATAAAAGTAAATGTTGGTCTTTTTCACATTATTGTCTTGGTTTACAAAAGAAAATTATTTCAGTTTTATCTCTGAAAATCTAGACTTTACAGTCAAAATCCTTATAATCTTATTGAGTGGACTACTAACAAAACTTGGGACACTATCTGTGTAAGTGTTCAAATAATCTTGACTTTAAAATATGGTGGAATTAACAGAATGGAATTTTACTATTTTCAAGAAATTTTCAATGTTAACTACTGTTATCTACTGAAATTATTCTTTTTAATTTCAATATTTGACATCTGCTTAATTGCCAAGGAAAAGCTTGTCAGACTCACAGAAGAGCGAATATTTTGTTACTTGATCTTTAATATTCCCGTATACATTACTTTAGGACATTTAGAATAAGGAGAAAAGAATTATGAATTTTATTTATGTGTATTTACGGACTTTACTTTGAAAGGAGAGTAGATGTCTAAGGGTATACCACTTTGGCTGGCCCATGTTTCATACAACTTTACAAGTTGCTTTTCTTCTCTACAGTCCATTTATATTTATCCTAACATCTAAATGTTAGTTAACCAGAAATGAAACAACTCTGTAGAAGGAAAAATGGGGTTGAATGTTTTGTCAGCTTTTCTGTAGTTCTTTTTCACAAAAATATTTGCCATCTTTTGTAAAAGGCATAAATTATTCAAAGAAGTGGATAAAATACAAGGAAATGTTGTCACTTGTTGTTATATTAGAAACATTATAAAGTTATACTTCTTAACCATGAGAATTTTAATTTTTAGAAGTGTATTTTAAGCGTGAAAAAAGAATGCATTTGAAATTTGGGCAGAGGTTTTTTTTCAGTTGTTTTATTTACAGATGTGACTATTTTAATAATGGTTGTTCACCTTGTGTTTTAGAGGATATAAAGTTTTTTTTTTAAGAATGTGGACTTTAAAATTTAAAAGATTTAAATAAACTTAACTCTTTGATTATTCCTTCAGATAATAATTGTGCAGTTTGGTGGAAAACCTTTCAGTTGTTCAGAACTTTCAGTAGAACAGTGGCTATGGTCAATATTCCTAGGAATGGGGACATTACTCTGGGGCCAGGTAAAAATTTCATTTTTCATTAAAATTGAATTGTTTCTTTTTTTTTAATTTTTTACTGTATATTTTCTTTAATCAGTTTTGCTAATTGATTCTAAATAGTGACCATTTGGGTCAAAAAAAGGAATTCTGGGGAGAAAAAAAGAAAAGGAATTTAGGGGTTTTTTGGGGTTTTTTTGTATTTGTTCCAGTACATCACTGTTGTTTATCATGCCTATTGTTTATTATGTTTATTTTTAGCTTCTTTAGAACAAGTTTTTCAGTAGTTATTAAAGATAATGTATTTATAACTGGTTAGGATGCTTATATCTGTATCTTTTACTCTATCACCTATTTTTACATTTTCAGGTTAAAATTTTTACACAAATGTGAAAATAAAATATACTTACTTCATTATTTTTGCTGTGTAATTTATTCTAGGATGTTGCATTGGAAAACTTGGGGTTTAATTTAGAGAACATTTCCATAAAAATTATGGTATCTGGACAGTAAGGCTACAAAATGTCATTTTAGAGTATTTTAATTGAATAACCTTAACAGTATATTTATAAAATACTAATTCCTGAAAAATGAGATAAACCTCATCTTTATTATTTTCAACTTCCTTGCAAATGCATGTCATTATTTTTAAAGATGAGTAGTAATACTCTGTAATTGTCCACTGTAACCCATTATCATTAGTATAAAACTAGCTGATAGAGAGTCTATAGTATCATTTTCATAAATTCAGGTTAGCAAATTATGATATATAACTTATATAAAGCTCATTTTATTGTCATTATGTAAGTCAAACCAAACTTTCAGGTTTTCCTTAAACTTTGCTCAGTCTTGTTTCTTTTATCTAATCTTGCTCTTGTGTTTTAGATTTTGAGTTTTTTTTATACATTTTGAAGACCTCATTATTAGAGATCTTCTTTTAAATGGAATCCTTGCTTGTTCCACATTTCTTTCTTGATTTACCATTCTAATTATTTCATAGTATTCTTTGCTAGGCAGAATAAAACCCCACAAATTCCAAAGTTCTGGCCAAATTCAGGAAGTAGAAATGCAATACAGTATACATACCCAGCAGGATTAAAATGATCTTGTCTGTTGATTTTAAGTGCATGATGGTAGAAAGAACACTGATTTTGGTGGCCGGGAGACCTGGAGTCTTAGCACTCCATGAGCAAGTTACTTCAAGTATCTTTGAGCCTGTTTCACCTCAGTAAAATGAGTTGGTTCTGTATGACTCAGTGCTTGTTTCTCTCTGATAAACTTTCACTAGGAATGGTTCTTTACACTTACAAGCTAATACATACTCGGTGTTTTTATATCCTTTATGTTTTCTTAGGCATCTGTTTCTATTTGGTGTCATTATAGTGTTAACTTCATTATCAGTGTTAATTTATTTTTAAATAGTTGCATTTTACATAAAAATAAATACACTTATTAAAACTGTTTTAGTATAACTGATGACTTTCTAATTTCTAATATGTTTTCCTCATGAATTTTTATAGCACTCATGAAACATAAGCTTGTTTTACATCCAGTAAGACCACCTGCATTTTCCTTTTATTTGGAGTGAATATAGTTAATAGGAATTTAAGTAAACATATGTATATTAGAGCATGATTATATAATATACTGTTGTAAATATTCAAGTCAATGTATTAAAAAATGTAATCAGGTGAATTCCTATTCAGGAAAACTTTTGTGCTTCAAACTTAAATCTTTTGTGTAACTAAAAGAAGACTATTCTTTGTTCTGGGAGAGAAAGTCTGATCAACAGGATCTCATTGCTTCCTTGGTGAAGATAGGTGGATACTCTTGCAATTTTTATAACCTTTTGTATAAAGTTGCTCATTTTAACTGTACTCAATATGATACATTTCTAAGTTCTTTCCCCTGTGTTGTAGCTTATTTCAACAATTCCAACTAGTCGTTTAAAATTCCTAAAAGAAGCTGGTCATGGAACACAAAAGGAAGAAATACCTGAGGAGGAATTAGCAGAGGACGTTGAAGAGATTGATCACGCTGAAAGGGAGTTGCGGCGTGGCCAGATCTTGTGGTTTAGAGGTCTGAACAGAATCCAGACACAGGTATGGGCCTGGAAGAGAGGTAGGAGGGGTGATGGGAGAAGGGCTTTCTGACCTGGGGAGGAGGTTCACGTGTGCTCCTAAACTTTCTTTCTAGCCTTCCCAACCAACAAAATTTATTCTTTTGAAAAAATACTACTGGTGGCTGGAATGAATGAAACTTTTAACTGATTATGAAAGAATGTGTCTTATATGCCCCTAAGCTCCTTTTTTCCTAGCTTTTTTTTTTTTTAACCACCCCCTTCATCTCAAAATGCTATTCTTGCCTATTTGCTCTGTAAAAAGTGCCTTTTTCTTTACTTTTTTATATGTTGATAGATGGAATGGTCCTTTCTCTTGTTCTCTCTCTCTCTCTCTTGCTGAGCAAGCTGTCACAATCTCTGATTCCTTGCAGATGGATGTAGTGAATGCTTTCCAGAGTGGAAGTTCCATTCAGGGGGCTCTAAGGCGGCAACCCTCCATCGCCAGCCAGCATCATGATGTAACAAATATTTCTACCCCTACACATGTAGTGTTTTCCTCTTCTACTGCTTCTACTACTGTGGGGTGTGAGTGTGTGTTCCTAAGTGCATGAAATTAACATTTCCTACTTCACACACCTAACGTTTCTCATTTTCTCCTTAATGTTTAAACTCATTGTTCAGGCTTTTCATAAAGCTTTCTTTTCGTAAAGTGGATTGAGACCTCAAAGTGTTGTCGTTGTTGTTGTTTTATTTCTTAGAGGGCTAGATAACAGGTGGAACAATTGCAACCAAAGATTAGCTATGAATTCTGTGAGCTTGTCTCTATGCTAACTCTTACAGTTAATATGGGGAATAAAATTATAGCTTAGAATTTGTGAAACTACTATAAATTTTTGAGTATATGCCTTTAAACGTGTTCATATGCATGGTTCCCAGAAGCATGTTATTTGAAACTGAGCTAACAGAACCAGGAAATTGCATTTGTAAAAATAAAATATGAATTTAGTATTTCAGCTTTATCTTGTCCGGTTTGGAAAGTAAATTAGTAGCCTTAGAAAAGTTCTATATAAAAAAGTATATATAGTCAATTGTTTGTCTTCTTAATTTGAACTTTCTCTATCTTACTTTGTGTTTTTTAAGAGAGAGTACCTATATAAACTTTTATGGTATTTATGGTTAGTTTGGGGTTTTTTCCCATTTGCATAATCAATTTAGTTTGACATCAAAGGTAAGAAATTTCTATTGTTTTCTAAATAGGAAAAATATATTGATTGATTATTGAACCAATATTTCAATAATATAATAATATATTCATCTTATAATGTCACTAATTGAATAACATTTTCTATTAGGTTTTTAGTAAATGGCAAACTACCTTTTAACCTTATATGACCCTATTGTAAATTGGGGTCTTCTGATTTCACAGTTGTTTTCAGTATATTGGAGGCAATAAAAATATATACCAAATTCCACTCATACAATTGCCAGAATTCTTAGGGTTAGACTTATATTTTGGGCAGAGACCTATCTTTTTCGTTTGGTCTCCAGCCAGAGAAGAACTAGAGGAGTCTTGGGTGAGCTGGACATAGAGTCAATCTAGGGAGAAAGCAGCACAGACTGTTTACCTATTGCCTATTAGCTTAAGTAATTTTTATTTGATATTTTTAACAATGTTGTAGAACAGGTAGAACCAGAACTGTCCCCATTTTACAGGTGTGAACACTAACTTAGAGATTAAATGACTTGCTTTTAACTAATAAACATGGTATAAAACAAAAAGCAGGCAAGTTCCCTAAAAACAAACTGACCTTGTAACATTAGGATGTAACATTTACATGGACAGATAGGAGTCTTCCTTTTAAAAATTACCTACCTGAATGAAATGGCAAATGTAAATTGCCTGGCATTACACTTGTACATTGTCAGTCAGATGTAGAATTCATACTATCTTTGGCTTCTCATCATGCAGCCCTAGATGGTAAATGCCTCACAAACCTCTGTGGAAGACCTACCATATGTAAGAGCTATTTTAAAACCTCCAGAATGTGCAGTCTAGTGAGAGAACAAGCAAGAAGTTGGAAGTTCCTACATGGCAATGACCTACAGAATATTATAGCAGGATCCTTAATCTACCCTGGGAAATCAGAAAGAATTACCTGAAGGAAATGACTCCCAACTTGCTCCTTGGTAAATTTTGCTAATTGAGAAAAGCAGGCCTCTATGGCAATAGTTTAGTAATAAAAAAAAAAAAATGATAAACTATAGAAAATTGATGAAGCTGAAGTCGAATATGAATATCTGTGTATCACAAGAAGCAGCCAAACTAAGGCTGTACTGAAAGACCTCCTTTCCCCAAAATCTTAAATTTGAAAAATTTTAAAGTTGAAAGATTAATACATGATTACATCTCACCTGAATTTACCACATCTTAATATGACATTTACCTTGTCTATATATTAATAATCTCTTTAGACCACTTGAAAGTGGCATATTTGACATTTCATCCCTAAATACTTTAGCATATACCTCTTAAGAAGTCTTGCAAACAATAATACTATATTATATTCAGGAAATTTAACATTGATTCCTATTACCAAATATATAGTCTATATTTAGATTTTTTCAGTTTCTGCCAAAGTATTCTTTATAGCTGTTTTGATGTATGATCCAAGAAAGGATCATCAACAACAATTTGTTATTACTCTTTAGTCTCTAGCCTGGATCTATTCCCTGCCTTTGTTTTTCATGATATGGTCCTTTTTGAAGAATCAAGGCCATTCATAAAGCGTCCTACATTCCAGATTTATGTGATTTATTTCCTACTGATTAGCTGCATGTTAAATTTTTTGACAAGTTTATCTCATGGGTGTTGGGTATTCATTTTTATTTCAGCAATATTTTGCTGAATTATTTTTAATTTATTTTCTAGTTTGGGAGGGTGTCACATGATCATAGGTATACTGTAGTGACTATAGTTCTCAGTCTGATTGTGTTCCAGGCTTTATGTTAAATATCAGATCAGTTACAAACTCTGTTTTAAGACACACATGCACACATCTGCCCCAGGCTGTTTTCTGATGCACAGCTGTATTTGAAACATCTGAGTTGTTGGACCCATCTGGTATTATATTTTAGGAAAGTAGCAGTACACTTCAGAAAGTGGCAAAAGGAGGCTTGTGGCTGTTACTTCACAAGTTTTGAGATGTTTACTTCTTTATTCTATATCCTGTGTTCTCAGGACATGAGGAAGTACTCAGTGACTAGATCATATCCTGCCAGTAATTATCATTATACACTATTGCAGTAATTATATTGCTGTTCTTTTAAATTTCTTTGAAGCTTTGCCTGAGAAGCATAGTCTTTGGTGGTATAGGATACCAGCCAATATATAAAATTAATAAAGAGTATTAGTATGTTTAATGAAAAGTTTCATTTTCACTGTGCTTTTGACCTAATACTGAATAATCTTAGAAATATCTAGAAACGTCAATTTTTTTTACTCTTATTTGTAGCCCTTTCTTTGCTAAATAGAAGAAATGGTAATCCATTTTAGCTTTGTCAAATATTAGACTTGAAACATCTTCACAGAGATCATCTTTTCTTCCCCCTCATTTATTAGCAGGATCTTTATAAGATCTCTAAAGAAAAATTATGTAGTTTTTCTTTATTTGTAAATTATATCATTCTAATATGCCTTTTACCATTACTGAATTCTTCTTGCTAAATCTATAACTTATCTTCCTGGAAGGGAGAAATTGAGGAGAAAAAAAAAATTGTACTTCTAAGCAAAGGGTCAGCCAACTACACCCTGTTGGTTAAATTTGTCCTGTTTCCTGTTTTGTTTTGTTTTTTTTTTTGGGGGGGGGGGGATAAATATATATATATATATATATATATATATATATATATTTTTTTTTTTTTTTTTTTTTAACATAGCCATGCCCTTTCCTTTAAAAGTATACCTATGGCAGTTTTGCACTGTAAGAGCAAAATTGAGTAATTAACAACAGAGACTTTGTAGCTTAAAAAAAAGTCCACCCCTGTTCTGATAATTAAAACATCAGTTAGTAGAGATGAGTCTTCCTTTGAGAAAATTCAACATGTAAATTATTCAACTCTGGAAAACAGCCTAAAATTTTCTTTTCTGTTGCCCCTCCCCCCAAAAAAACCTTTATTTTATCATTGCAGTTTTTAAGTTAGTGCATATAGTAAAAATAATGATGAATACAGATTTCGAAGTGACCATGCTGTTGTAAAAAATAAGACATATTGGTTTATAATGAAATAGTTCTGTATTTTAGAGCTGTCTCATTATATGCCATGTTTTGGGCAACAGTATTATTAACCTTATCTACTATCAAAAGTTAGGAGGAGGGACTGGGGTTGTGGCTCAGTAGTAGAGCACTTGCCTTGTACATGCGAGGTACTTAGCACCACATAAAAAGAAATAAATAAAGATATTATGTCCATCTGCAACTAAAAAAATATACTTAAAAAAAGAGTTAGGAGGATATTTAGGAAAATTTTTTTTAGAGTACCTGGTTTTGACTCGTTAATTAAATTTTGATTTGTTAATTGTTTACCTTGAAAATCGATTTTAATTTCTTAAAGTGAAATTACTTAATGATTATGATAATCACCTTAGTTTTTTTTTTTTTTTAATCATGTACTTCATGCAGTATTTTCTTCAGTTTTTTTTTTTCCTATTAAAATTTTTCTGGACATAGCTGTTATTAAAATTTTTAATTTTGATAATCTTAGGGGGTATAATTATATTGTGCATAGTAGGTCTCAATAGATACCAAATGGGAAATGAATTAAAAGACAGTAAATAGCGAGGAATTAGATGTCAAGAATGGGAAATTAACAGTTATGTCTTGGGTTTCCACTTAAACTGGATTCTTTGTGGTATTAAGAAGATAATAAAGTTCAGGGCAATTGTAAGTTTAGCTCAGTATGTTAGTTTGCTATCTATAACAAAATACCTGAGATAATTTATCAAAAGAAAAGGTTTATTTTGTTCCACAGCTTTTGAGATATGATCAAGTGGCCATGTTGCTTTGGAGTGTAGCAAGGCAGCATATCATGGCAAGAAGGGAATGGTGGTTCAAAACTGCTTATGGATCATGAGCCAGAGAGCAAGAAAGAAAGGGCCAGAATTCCATGATCCCCTGAGGGCACACCCCCAGTGACCTAAGGACCTTCTATAGGGCCCCACCCTTCAAAGGTTCCAACACCGCCCCATGGCACCATCATAGGGACCAAACCTTTAATACATGAGTCTTTGGGGACATTTAAGATCTGAACCAGAGTGCTCAGGCTTAAGCCTTAGATCAGGGGTGTTTTATTCATATATTTTATAATCTAGATTTTGTTGTATGTATTTCCTGTGAGACTGTCCTTCGAGATTTGGTTTTTGGTTTTTTTTTTTTTTTTTTTTGGAACACTGGTGAGCTGTTCTTTTACTGGTTACTAACCACAGTTCTGTGGCTTACGTAAAGGAGAAGAAAGAAGGAAGCATTAACTTTAATCTTATGAAATTTTTTTTTTCCTAGTGAGTTAGTGATAAAGTGAATGTCTTCTGTTTTGTCTTTTATTGACTTCCAAGGATTCTGGAATTGGGAGTTCAGAAGCCTAGGTTCTAAGAATCTCTGGCACTAAGAGTGACTTGACTTGACAAGTTGCTCAGTTTTATTATATTTATGAAGTGGTTAAAATAAAATATCTCTAATATCCTTTTAGTAATTTCTTTCTGAGTGAGTAAGAAAAATTTACCAAGTTTGGGTAAAAAGGACTTCGCTGATTTCACCTGCTACAGATATGTGTGTGATTGTGTGTGTATATACATCTGCTATCCTCACCCGCAGGCTATACTCTGCCCCTCTTAGAGCTTTGGGAACTCACAGATATCTGTCTTACTCCCATACCTTTCTTATGAGCTCTATTTTCCAAATTAAATATATTCAAAAAATCAGTCTATTTCCTCTTTGACCCTTCACTGTTTGCTTTTATACCTATTTTGATTTAAAAGTAAACAAAAAATCACAGAAAACTTTGACACCATTAACAGCAGTACCAGCAACCTAGTCCAAATTGCAAAGATATCCTAGTCCCCTTGAACAGTTCTAGCCACCCATCAAATTTGCTGGCTGATCCTCCAGTTTCTGTTCTCTTTTGTGCCTGCTGGCTTTGACACCAACCGATTTTTCTTCTGAAGCTGTCTCTTTGCTTTTTAAACTTTATGGTTTAGTACTAGAACAGTCAGGATATTTGTTGAATGTTTGCATGTATTAAAATGTAAATTGCAAGAGTGCACAATTAACATTAAATAAATGGTTATGACAGTATATTTAGCAAGCATTGTCTTATTCCTTATGTTAAGCATTACATTTTAGTAAAAAGTAAAGGGAACAGAGCAATAAATTGACAATGTATTTGTTATTATTAGTCTGTCAAATTAAGGAACTAATGTATAAATATGAATGGACTAGAATTATAATATGTAATAAAATAACAAGATAATATATACTAAATACTTGCTGCTTCATGTGTAAATCATGATTCAGCAGCATCAGCATCACCCAGAAGGTTGTTAGAAATGCAGGATCTCAAGCCCCTGCTGTATCCAAATCTGCATTTTAACAAGATCCCCAGCTAGCTCATACACACATTAAAGTTTGAGAAGCACTGGGTTGATACTTACATGCTAACACTCTTCTAAGTCTATAGTATACTAACTTAATCTCCTGTAACAACCCCATAAGGTATGGGTACCATTGTTATTTCCCATTTTATAGTGGAGAAAATCCATTTGATTAGTGTTCCTCAACTAGTAACTGGCAGAGCTGTAACCTGTGTAGCAAGAAAGATAGATTTGAGGAGAGATAAGTAATAATTGGAAATGGACACATGGCCCTAAACTAGACATATTTTAATATATATTCAGATGTCCATTTGAAGAACTTTATTAATTTATTCATTATCATTGTCTTATGATTTTGGTGACCGTATCTTATGGCACCATAAGTGATAGTTACCTCCTTTAGCATTATTAATAGATGATGTCTTCATTATTAAATGCTTCATTAGAATTGAAACCAAAACAATGTATTTAAATTGATGTATAGTAGATTTTATCTTTTTTCCCTAAATATGCATGACACTGGGTTAATGAGACCTGATGTCCACATTGGGATAATATTTTTTTAGTTTAATTGACCATTAGCCTCTTTTCCTTTATATAACAGACTTCTAATCTAGACAGACAACTCTTTGACTTTATGTTTTAGAGTAAAAGTACTAGAAAACTTTGAAACTTTATGTATTCTCTTTGGGATATTTTTCATAGACTTCCATTGGATTTTTAAATTTTCATTTTGAAAATCTATTTCTTCTAGAGAATATAGTGATTAAGTTGTAATCTATGATAGAGAAAACCCCTTAACACTTTGTAAAAAAAAAAAAAAGAAGGCATATACTCAAATATTTATAGCTGTTTAATGGCATTTTGTAGATATTTACTTGGGTTTTGTCTGTATTTTTATTTTGTGATTCAGGGAGTGGCGGGTAGATGTGAGTTCATGTGGCATTCAGCTTCTATTTGCTTGGCTTTTCATAGTCGGTGACACCCTGATTCCTAGCATGACAAATAGTAACCCTTTGTGCTTGACTTTAACTTATTTGAATTGTTTTCAAATATACATTATTTTTAGTTTTTAAAAAGTCGGCTAAGCTTGTGTATGGTTAAGTTTTGTTTTGTTTGTTTTTGTTTGTTTTCTTAGGGAAAAAATCCTATAAAATGGCTATTAAATTTTTAGCCAGTGACAATGAGATTTTCTTAGTATTACTTTGAATCTATACTTCTTAAATTCGTAGAGTATGTGGTTTTGTTGTTCTGTAGTGTCCTACTAAAATATTCATTTTTTTTTACAGTGTATTGCAAGTTCCACTGCATTACATGCAAATTTGATTCACTCATACCTAGCTGTTTGTGGATTCAAACTCATAAATGAACCAATTTAAGTTAAGTTGATTATATACTGACATTTTTCTGTGTTTTCTGATATTTACAGATTCGAGTGGTGAATGCATTTCGTAGTTCTTTATATGAAGGGTTAGAAAAACCAGAATCAAGAAGTTCGATTCACAACTTTATGACACATCCTGAGTTTAGGATAGAAGATTCAGAGCCTCATATACCCCTTATTGATGACACTGATGCTGAAGATGATGCTCCTACAAAACGTAACTCCAGCCCTCCACCCTCTCCCAACAAAAATAACAATGCTGTTGACAGCGGAATTCACCTTACAATAGAAATGAACAAGTCTGCTACCTCTTCATCCCCAGGAAGCCCACTACATAGTTTGGAAACATCACTCTGATTGTAAGCTGAATGTTAACACACTAGCTGCATTGTAAAGAAACAAATTGAAACTGGGTCTTTTCACATATTGTGACGGACAAGATAGTATTCTTGTCTTTGGACTTCAACAGAAGACACACTTGTACGAATGTAGATTTATTTTTTTAAAAAAAAAAAAAAAAGCAAAGCTTTCTGCCAGACTGAGGGTGCTTTTTGGGGGGTGGGAGAAATGAACTGACAGATAAACAGTAACTCAGTATAAGTGACCCGTGGATCATCAGTAGTACCCAAGAATGGTCCTGAACAGTGTATTAGCAGAACTTTAGTTTATCTTAATCCTTGATGGGAGAGAGGGAGGAGTAAAGCTGGGCCAGACGAAGAGCCCTGGATCATTGAATTGATACTTTAATTTCTGCTGTTGGCTGTTAATAATTTGGATTATTTATGTTTATAAATGATACAGATCTGTTTACAAGGTTTGTAGATACTTTTTTTGTTCCTGTTCATAGATGGGAAGCTTCATTATAACTGATGCAGAGAAAAATTAGTCCTTCAAATACTGCTGTATTTTCAGGAAAAAAAAGGGGGGGTGTTTCTATTGAAACTGTACTAAATTTTTGCCTACAATTTACCTTGTTAAATATTGTAGATAAATTGCTAATACTAATAGCCAAATAGATAACACTAATGCTTTGTTTAAAAAAAACCAAAACAAAAAAAACAAAACAAAACAAAAAAACATGAGCAGTGGTGTTCTAATGAAGTTATGGCGTCTGTCCTAATTAGTTTCTTAAATACATTTACTACTTAATGGTTTTGAAACAACTGTTTAATTTTTAAAATTTTTGAAAACTTGCTAATAACCTTTTGTTCAGAATTTAGTAGATTGTTTAATGCAGGACATCAACTACACAATGAAAGAGTGCTTGAAATGCTTTTGTTATTTCAGGCAAATCAGATTAAATCAAACTATCAAACTACAAGAGAACCTTAGTCCTTTTTGTTTTTGTCTAAATATGTTAGTTCAGTGATGTCTTGGTGAACTGTGAGTGAACTGTATTGATTTTTCTAATAAATTCTTAGAGACCTTCATACAGCATGAGGGCGTTGGCATTTTGAAAAAGGTTAATAAGTAGAAGCATACATGTTTTTCTTTTGTTTTTGAAACTTGTTTGTAAGCATAAATAAATATGCCCTTTTATTAAATAAATACACAACAATGTTTTTGACATTTCAGCTTCCTTCCTCAGTTCTGCATATATGTCTGTCCTGTTAAGCCACAATTGGAATAAATTTGAAGATGGTGGCAATCTAATAGAATCAGATTAAGTGAATGATCACAATCTTGCCATTTAACATGTTTTTCATAGAACTTAGTTGGTCTAAAATAGTCTCATAGTTTAAAAAAAAATAATGACTACCATTGTCTTTGTATATTTTAATTCTTAAGTGGCCAAATAACAAATGGTAAAATGAGATTATAATAATTAACCATATGCAGGAATGCCCATCTCTAAGCCAATTGGATTCCTTAGCTATTTTCTTCCTGTCTGCCTTCTTCCCTTGTTTGCCTCTTGTCTTTACCCTGTATAAACTGGCATCATGTTAGGGCCTAGCTTTCACCAGATACACAATCCTCAGGCTGTTGTGAAGTTTACGAGGACTACTCCATCTGAGAGTGCTGACCCCGCAAAGAAATTTAGTTGATGGTGCTTGATATTTTTGGTGGGTGGGGGAAATCGTTTTCTCTCCATCAGTTTTTTTGCAGTAATCCTCTGCAAGTCTTAGAAACACATTGGCTCTGTCAGCATTTGTCATTGTACATTTATTCATCAGGTATTTATAGTGATTCATACTGTAAAAAGAGGAGGCATGATATGCTGGGAAGCATATTTAGACTAGGAGTCAAGACCTGGTTTCTAGTCTTGGTTTTGCCATTAATGTGCTGCATGATCTTGGGAAAATCATTTACTCTACATGAGGGTGGTAGATTAGACTCTACCTTGAAGAACCCTTTCAACTCTAAACATTGACCCTATCAACTGGAGAAGCCTACGTACAAGGCATAGGGAATAGAGAAAAGGGAAATGTTTTCAGTTTTCTTTTTTATTTTGGTTATGCTTAAATATGAATGTAATTACCAAAAGATTTAGAAGTGCATGTGCTTTGGAGGATTTGTATTGAGCTTTTACAGTATTCATTTTTCAACTAAAGGCAATGGCTTTTTACACCAACTCTAATCCATAAATGGGTCTTAAGACATCCATGAAGTAGTAGCAAGACATGCTTAATGTGTATTTCTCTCTTTGAGACACTGTAATTTCTACCAGAAATTTCCAGAGCATTATGTAAGTAGAAAAAAAAAAAAAATGCAAGCAAGCTGTTAAAGATCTTGGATCCCATTATATAGTATGTATAGCTGAAATCAGCATCTGTAATTCAATCACTTTTTCTCTTTTATCCTCTAACCAAAAAATTGTTTAATTTTGCATCCCAAATGTTTTTAATCTTTGTATATTTTTTAAAAATCCTTTTCTCCTCATCATTGCCTTTTTTGTGGTTGTAAATAGACTTACTTGCACTTTGAAGATGAGTTACTCCTTGTCATCTTACAAATATGTGATATGGTAATTTTCATAACAGATGTCAGTTTTGAACCAAGAAATGGTGATTTGTTTATAAGAAAAAAAACTGGCTTCATTTCTGTGAAATTGCTCTTTGAAAATTTCTTTTTACACGTGTAAGCCAACTGAGATACCGTGATGGTGTTGATTTCTTTCAATGATGCTTACCATCTATTTTAGCCACTGAGCCTTTTATTATTTGTCTATTTGTAAAGTTTATTTGTCTTAACTCATTTAATAAATATACTGTTTATCTGTTTCTGAATGGGGACTGAACTCTTTGAATACTGAAATTTACTTAAATATCTTATTTTGGAATTACTTTTTTCTACTTGAGATTTTTAAAATCTGATTGATGAAAATTCTATAATGTACTTGAAATGTTATGGTTGTGTTACAGTGAATCAGTGTTCTAATATCAATATGCATGGTCTTGCCTCTAAAATGAAAGTGGGTACATTTTCCCCACTCTTCCTACCCGAAGCTTTAATCCTTCTAGTACAATAGCTTACTTTTTCAGTCCATGAGAATGTAATGCTTTCGTTGTAGAACAGATTAGTTTTTCACATTAACTATTAAGAATTTATTTTTCATCAGATAATACAAACTTGTCAATACAATTATCTGAACTCTATGGTGAAAAAATAATAAAATTGCCCTTAGTTGGTTTTTATAATAAATTATTACCATAAATTCACATTTTTGTTGAAATATTGAGTAACTTTTTAAAGGATTATAAATACCATATTTTTGATAGTATAAATTATTAGTACATTATTGAATATATTTAAATATCATTTATGACATGAAAGATATTTTCATTTTGTCAAATTGGATTTTATATATGTATTATGTATTAGAATTGAATTTTGAATTACATTCTCTGTAAAATTAATTGAATAAGAAAGGGGAGTTTCTCTAAACTTTTGCTTGTTGACATTTTTCCTTCCCCATCCTTTAGAGAGCGCGTGTCTTTTTGTAGCTATCTTTTTCTGTAACATATGCCACTCTAAGACTCTCATAACCAAACCCCATATTAACCTTTATCTTTTAAAATTATTCTTAAATACTTGAAGACAAAACACACTTATTAGCATAACTTACTAAAAATAATCTCTGAAAAATGACCTTTTAGAATAAGTGTTTTTATATCATAAATAATGTTTCATATGGTAAGGGAAGTCAATGATGGTTAGTATGTTACTGCACTTAGTATTCTATGTTTTTGTCATAAGAAATATTTTTTTTTTTTTTTTTTTTTTTTAAAGAAAGAGTGGGAGAGAAAGAGAGAGAGAGAGAATTTTTTAATATTTATTTTTTAGTTCTCGGCGGACACAACATCTTTGTTTGTATGTGGTGCTGAGGATCGAACCCGGGCCGCACGCATGCCAGGCAAGCGCGCTACCGCTTGAGCCACATCCCCAGCCCCTGTCATAAGAAATATTACTTTAGGCATTGTCCCTATTAAAAACCACTTCAACATATAGATGAATATTCTAAATGTATGCATCTTTAATCTGTGTTCTCTGAATTCAAGGTATTATTATTGAACAATTTAATTGTAATGGCTCCAAAATAGGAACCTAAAATATAAACATATAAAAATATAGATATGTAGATATTTATACAGTATCAGTCTCTGATATAATTTATTTAGCACTATCCTATTTAAACTAGTTCCCAAATAATTAACATGCACATTTAAGTTTGGGTTCAATGCAGAACAAAGGTTCTCTTGATTTAAATCAGTGTTTTTTGAGAACCACAGTTTTTTCCAAATCACCTTTCAGATCATTAACTTTTAATAGCGAATGGTTATTAAAAGGGTTATTGTCATAGCATAAACTGGTATTTTAGGAGGACTTGCTATAGCTAAGCACTTTCTATGCATTATGTAAATCATAGCCCTGTGAACTGCTGTTATTTCCTATGGGGAAACAGACTAAAGTTCTGTTCGGTTGCTTGCTCTGGGTCCCATGGTAAGGTAGTAGAGCTGGGATTCTCTCTTGATGTAGACCCTTTAGCGGGCCTCAGCAATGGGTCTTTGCCATAGTACTAGCATCTTGTTAACATGAATCAGGGCCCAGGGCCCTTATATCTTGTGTTCCCTTTTTTTTTTTTTCCTGATAGAAAATGCTTTAGACATGATCTTAAGGAGTCTTCATACCCTTCCTAGAGGAAAAACTCAAAACACCAAGGCAAAGAATCACCTATTAAAATGTTTATAATCAATCCAAGCTTTCCTCTCAGACTTCTTGCTGAGAAGTCAAAGATTAACTCAGTAGAATGTTCTATTATAATAACATACTTAATTAGAGAATTTTGTGACTTGGTACTTTAAAGATGGGTATGTTTAAGTTTCATGTGTAGCAATAATTTAATGACCTATTCAATAAGGTGTTTCTTGTGTTTGACAAGAATATTCTTAGTTCACTTTTTTTTTAAATGAAGAAAGACTTTTGTCCTTTAGTAGTTTCCTTGATGAAAATTTTTAATGCTTTAATATTTAAAACCCAAGGGAGTGACTTTATTGCACATTTGATTTTTAAATGGGCCATTTTTAAAATAAAATTGGAGCCATTTTTTTCAATACCATATTAATGTCATTTTAGAGCAATGTGGTTTATGGTTTGTGAATAGTCCCCCTTAGTCTATAAAAATTAGATGCTTGTTGGTTGGCTTTTATGACCTCATTAAGATAGCTTAATGAAGATAAAGAGTTTTGAAACTTTTTCTGTTAGACTGCTTTTTAAATTGTTAAGTATCTGGTCATAGGTATGTCTTAACAAATAGCCTGGGGATGGAGTCAAAAATGAGAACAAGAACTCAGGGAAAACTATGGTATTTGAAGTTTAAATTGAGATCCTTTTAATATATCTAGTGTTCTAAAATTTTAATCTTAAGCCTGTTCCCCAAGAAGGGAAAATCAATAGTCTATCTAAAAGCTTTGATCACTGTGTGTGTTGGGGGAGGGGGGTGGTTCTGAGGATTGAATCCAGGCCTTGTGCATGTGAGGCAGGCACTCTGCCAACTGAGCTATATCCCCAGCCCCTTGATCACTCATTTTCTGCTGCAGATTTGGGATGGGTGCTAGTTCTCAACCTTAGTGTGGTAGGATAGAGGGTGAATCACAATAAAGCCACACCAAGTCTCTGGAGCCTAGGATCCTTTCAGTGTCTTATAGATAACACTACCCTGATGTTCCCCACTTTCACAGCTTCCAGAATTATCTGCTACTGCTGACACTTCTCTGTCCACATATTCTGCTCTCCATTCATTCATTCAACACACACTTGGTATTTGTCATGAGGAATTCATACTGTTTTGGGAGACTTCAAACAGTGTCCCTGCTCTCAAAAGAGCTGATATCCTGTTGGGTGGGAAAGACAGATCTAAATCAGGTTGTAGGGGTTGATGCCATGTGACAGTGGTTGAGGAAGCCCTCACAGATAAGGTATAAATCACTGTTGAGCTATATGGAATAGCCTCCCGTCAGAGATTCCATTAGATAGCACCTGGCAAGTTTGAGGAAATGAAAGGAGTTATGGCCAGTGTAGCCAGAGTGGAGTGAACCAGCAGGAGAGTAGGAGATGTGTTTAGACAGGTATGGGAAGACCTCTCCTGATCTCATAAGCCCCAGCAAGAACTTCGACAGGATGTGATGGAGGATTTTAAGGAGGAGCAACATGGCCTGGTTTTAAAAGGATCATCAGCTTCTCTGTGACCAGGGATAGATTGACAGCTAGAAAACCAGTTAGGAAGAGATTGCCTTTTTCAAACAGGTTCCAGTCCAGCTTAACCTTTTCTACTTCTTTGTAGTCTCTTGTGTAGAATCTTGTGGACCCTTATTTCCTTTTGCTGTGTTAACTTTATGCTTGTCATGCTTATCTAATTTACACCACGTCTGGCATCAATTTCAGTCATCTCACATATTTTCCTCATTTTTGCCTTAGTCCATGTGCAAGTTTCCACATGGATCACAGCAGCCTTCACTTTTGCTGTTATTCAACAACATGGTTACAAACAGAAGGTAGCCATTTCTCTTCTCTTCATTCTCCAAGGCTGTGGTCATGTCTTCTCCAAACTACCCTTCATCTGCTTTGTAAAAACTCATTAAACCTGCTGATCTTGTTCTTTTCCTAGACATGATGGCCAGTTTCTTGATTCCCCAGTCTTTTTTAGCTTACTAGCTCTATCTGCTCTGGTCCTGCCTAAGGCACTTGAGTTGGTTTCTTCATCCTGCCCTGTCATTGGCCTCCATGGCTTTGCCTCCTACTCTACTTTGGTGCCCAAACCTGAACCACTTTAAGCATTAGACTATGCTCACCATCTTGCCAGTAATAAAGATTCACTTACTTCCTGGCTTTTCTCAATGCTTTGAGCAAACTTTGTCTTTATTCTTTCAGAGCCTTTTCTCATTACAGTTATGCAAATCTTTATATCTACTTCTGAGCCAAGACTCGGTGCCTGGTTTGTCAGACTCAGATGCACCTTTTCCATTCTGTTGACAAAACCTATGGTGTTCTTGTTGTGCAAACTTATGATTTCTTCACTTAGGTTAGCAAACTTCTTCTTTCCCTTGTTGTCGTCTTACTGGGTTTTAGTCCTTAAGAGCAGAATTTTGCACCTATCCATATTAAACAATTGTTTTAGTCAATGCATATCACTTTGACTGCAGAATTTTGTCATTTAGTTTGTTCTCACACAAGATAGTAAGGAGCTTTCCCTCCATTTTCCTAGAACAACTGCTTTCACAGTAAAACTGAAAGACAAAAATAAGATAGGTAAACAACCATTTGTCTTGCTTTCCTCAAAACCATTACCGGGCTGATATTTCTGCAGTCATTCAGTCATTCAATCAATTAAGGATCATCTAATTAAATGATCCATCATCCTACATATAAATAGAATCCAAAAGTCATCAACTCCAAAACTGGATGAGGCCTTATGGAGATGCTGTCAGCTACATTTCCCGTATGGCTACAAATATTTCTTCCTTGGTTTCAAGTATTCTTTTTTGTCATTCTTATTTTCAGTGACAACTTCAAGTTCTTTACCTCAGGCTTACACATTTGGTCTTTTAACTGTGCTCTCCAAATCCTACCTTCTCTCTCCCCTGTCACCAATCTATTCAACACTCAAAATCTTCCTAAATCACCACTTTCCCCACATCACTTTTTCCTCCTCAAAGCCAGGTAAGTAAATAACCCCAAAAAAGTTTTGAATAGCACTCCTCATATAGCTGTCACCTGCCCCTTTCTTTGC